GAAGTGTTTTTTCAGTTAGTCAGGGGATGAGTTGAAGATCATAAAACGTACGCAGCGAGGGCACTGTGAGGTCTGTGTTAGGGGCCTGGTGATGCTACAGTATAAAGTTGTACACCTCGGGAGTCCTTAATCCCTGTGAGCGGAGCACGGCCCGGGAAAGACACGCGCTGTAAATCTCCTGCTTATGCCGCGTTCGGCAACGGCAGCCACAGCTTGTAAAACGAAAACACATGACAGGTGCCATGAGTCAAGAATGTGGAAAAGATCTATGAGAAAATATTAGCACTTTTATTTTGCTTTTAAGAGATGACACACAAGGGACTGCAGGGATTTCACAGTAATAATAACAAACACACACACACATACACACAGATGTAATTGACTAAATATAATCTTAAAAACATCAATGAGTAATCTAATGTTTATCTTAGACTGGGCTTTCATCAATGCAATCTCTCCTGTCACTTTTCATTCTGATTTAAAGCTGGGGGTACCTTACATTTACATTTTGTTTGTCCAGGCCTTGTAAAAGTATAATACTGTCTTCATCTTAATAGAAAAGTTTTCATACTAGTATAGGGAGAGATAAGAGATGATTGGCAGAGGGAGGCTGGTCCTCTTTTTCACTTTTCTCTCTGAAAAAGCAGATCCAAAGTTTAGACAGATGACATAGAACATGCAAATGAAAACTGTTGATAGAACCAAACTGCTTTTAGAGTGAGGAACTAGAGAGATGGATTTGATTACATATTATTAATAAGGAAATATGATACCTAAACATCTTATCGACAAACTTTTAAAATTAATTTTAAAAAAGACATTTCAGCCGCTTTTTTTCATTCAGTTTCTCATTTTGTATTCATAAACATGAGCATATTTCTGAGCCTGGACCCACACTGGTTGCATCGGCTACATATGTGTTTTGCTGATGGCACAGTGCATGATTTATTTGAACAGATGTGAACTCTTGGTGCCAGTGCTGACCTCAGGACCTACTTGGCTACACTGCGGCTGATCTTTCCGCCTTGGAAAAATAACACTCCATTTAACAGACTGACCCATGGAAGCCAGCTATGGCCTGGAATAAAGCTTAATTTCCAGTCTATATGTGCTTTAACATGGCCAACAGTGAGGTTATAAGAAGCCATGTGAATCTCTCATTGACTGGGTTGGTTGTGCTTTTGATATTTCTTTATTTTATGAATGCTAAGCAATTCAATGTGTTCAAACAGCATCGTGAAACTTAATGTAGCCATGCATGTGAAAGCCTCAGATCTCAAAAGCTCAGCAGGGGAGGGCCTGGTTAGTACTGTGATGGGAGACCTCAGAAACACCAGATGCCACAGTGGGGTGGTTGCAGTAAAGAGCAAAACTGTTGTTGTGTTCTTAGGCTCAACACTTCACTCACATTACCAAGTATGAGTCTAGGTTGTGTGTGAACGATTGGTGTGGTTGGAAGGGACGCTGGCACAGATTAGTAGCCTTGCTTCTGTCAGTCTGCCACAGGGCAGCTGTGGCTACAGCAGAAGTGCACTTTGTACAGAGTGAATTAATAATTCTGTGTGAAGCACCATATTATTATTATTATTAAACCTCACTGCAAAGCAAACTAAGTATCTGATTAATAAAAGCAATTATAGTATTTAGAATTAAGTGTGCATAATGTAGGCAAACAGAGGTTTGTTTGTTCCTGGCTATCAGCGATCAATCCCACAGTATGTATGAAGGGCTGAGATTTCCTGGGAATGCTTTTGTCACAGAGAAACTTCCATCCAGAATTGGTAAAGCATTAAAGAATAACTTTAGTTTGACCTCAGCAAAACTCCTTGTTACACCTGCATTGGTCAGAACCACTGTTACAGGCCTCTATAAAAATGTTGAGTGTCTAACCTTATCATGGAACACCACACGGCAACACTTTGTCAGACTTTGTCCTTGTCTTCAATGAAATATCTCAGTTACAGTAAGCAGGCGTAGAGTAAAACCAGAAGTTATAATGCGTTCTAACTTTGATATATAGTTGTGGATTTATACCCTCATTGACTGAAAATGGAGGGTTTTATACCAAACAAGGCGCACATTAACAACAGCAAGCATGAGTTAAGGGAGAGCAGAGGTTGCCGACAAGAGCCATAAAGGGGCAGGATTTATGTGACGGCGCAGTCCAGGCGGGAGGTCAGAGCCAGAGTGAAGCGTGGAGGGTCGACAGGGATGAACACACAGCAATGTTTGGACAAAGGACAGAAGAGAGCAGCGCTAATTCATACCATGGTAATTGGAAACAGAAGAGGTGCACCTGAAGCTGATGGAGCAAAGGCTAGAGAGGGAGGACACATGCTGCTGTCCTGGTCTGTGTGGATCCAACAGAAAGCTCCAAGAACACCTCTGCATTCCAGAGGCCAAGTTTCAAAATCGAGTATGCTCCGATAAAAACTACTTAATATCACCACTGTTATCTATAAATGCTCTTTTAAACTTAAAATTACACTATTGTTATGATGCCATTGGATTTCCGGAAAATAAATTTTTTTTTTCTTTTTTTTTGCGTTTAACATGTTTGCACACTTCTGTCTTTTGCACAAATCTGAGTGATTCTATCCATGCCAAATGTGACATGTACTGTACATTTCTCGCGAGATCAATAAAGCCTATCTTATCTTATCTAATCTTATCTTTACAATTTATTCTGATATAGTTCAAAATCTATCAAAAAATGCTTAAGAAATGTACAGCTTTGTTCCGTTCATGTATTTTAATTGTTGTACCAATACTTGCTCAAATTAGTATCTAGTTTCAACACTAGATCTAGTATCATTTGATTTCTGATACTTTTGACAATTACAGTTCATTTATTTCATTCAATTAAGTAAAGTATTTTGTTTGTTTCATTCAATTCATTTCAATTGAGTAAAAATAATAATATATATTTACAATTTCAACAACATATAGAATTCTGAAATGATTGGCACATATTTAGAATTAAAATGATATTATCCCTTTCAATTGATGTGTGTAAAACTGTACACACATCAATTGAAAGAGCAGAAAATAAACAATCAATATGATCACATCTCACATATTTATACAAATTGCAGTATATATTTTCTATAATAATATGTCTGAAAGGGAGGATGGTTTGGTGTCAATGGCCGCCTTGTCTAGAGCTTGTGTGTTTTGGTAACACTGACAGGCTTCAGACCCAATCACTGCTTTAGCGACCTGAATTAGTTCGATATAGTTGACGAGTCGTGCTGTTGTGAGTTCCAGGACCACCCGGTTACACCCAGCAACCCGCCCAAGCCTCCTCAACACCTCACTTAAACAAACGACTGCGTCCTGTGATGACTCATTGTATCCGTTAATTATCAATCTGGTCCTTAGAAAAGCTTCTTATGCTTCAAACGCTGCTGTGTGCGTGTTGTCTGTAATGTCTCAGTGAGTGATGGTGAATTCAGATGTTGGCTGTGACTCGTCTGGCGTGCTGCTATAGATGAAGTCATCTCTGCATTTCAAATGGAAAAACAATACTTGATGTGCTTCATATCTGCCGGTTCTGGTGGTAATCACAGGGGCTTATTGTCAAAGTTCAATGGAGTAGTTGAGATCTGTGCTGAATCAAAAGTTTCTCTTTCTGGGTATCCCTGACTCATACGTATGTAGATCTTTCAAATGCTGTTGTTGAGAAATGAAGACAAGGCAGCGGCGATTGCACCTGTACCACCGTTTATTTTTGAGTCCTAAGGATCGAACAAATGCAAACGAGGCTTTTTACAGTATACAGTATGATTTGTGCCAATGTGCATCAGAACAGAAGATGTCATCACTTGAGATATAAATGACTCATGCTTAAAGCTATATCGGAGGATTTTCCCTAATTATAGGAAAGAACCACCCTCTCCACTTTTGAAGAAAACTCTCTGGTCTTATTTGTCAAGCACGTATCACCAGAATGATTGACAATTCTGACCAATAGTCTTGATGATCCACCTGGATGTAGATAAACATCCTATATACCTTTAAGATATAGATACTGTATGCGTTCAGTTCTTCAGATAATAATGTTTAGTCATTCACTTCCCTTGACTTGACCTAATCTTCAACATCTCTTCATCTTCAGAGGTGCTCTCTGTGGGGTACACTGGCAGTGCAATGGAGCGAGAGATGGACTGACATATTCTGACAGTACGTGCAGAGGAAAGCATACATATCCAAATCTTGAAGCGGAAAATATGAGGAACATAAGTGTTATTATCACAGAAGAATACAACAGGATTTAGATGTGGCACAGGGCGGCATTGTTTCTCTTTTAAGGCATGTCAGTTGTCTTCCTCGCTTAGGGATGTTTTGAGCAAAACTCTTTTTCTGCTTTGTCACCACCAGTGATTGACGTGCAGAAAGTCTCCACACACGGATCAGTGCATGCGAGCCCTTTGAGATGATCGCTCCAGACTCTCCGCAGCTCTTTCTACTGTAGTGGTTAGCGCAGACGTTTGTCGCTGTATCCAGGCTTTTTCCACCTCCTATCTATTCTAAGGACTGTGCGCACATCAAAGCCACCACAATCTGTCAGCTTTCTCTCATGATTTGTCTCTCACACACGTCATACTCTCTACTGCACAAACCATGCACAAACTGAAACACATTGGACTGTTAGGGAATCATTCTACATCGTCTTTGATCTTTTTATGGCCAGCATTCCACCCAGAAACTATACTTTTGACATTGAAGAGTTTCTCACCATGTATCCATTGTGCACGTTTAGACAGACAATGTCTGAAGCTTATAATGATGAGCTAACACGAGATTCATTGCATGTCAAAATACAGTAGATGATTATTTCCACACAGCTTGAAGACAGAGCAGCTGCACATCTTCATCTCATTGCCTGCTCCCGTCATGTTTGTGCAATGCTCTTTTCTTCTGGATATGTGTGTTCAAAGGGACCACAGAACAAATCAGAGGCCTGTCCCGGTGCACCGATCGCCTGTCTCTCATTTCACATGGAGATGGAAGGCTCTGGGCGTCAGAGAGGATCAGGGGCCGCCTCGGGGCCTCTGTGCTTCTGGACCGTGGCTCGTACCAAACGGCAAACCCACCACAAGTGGCTCTTCCTCCTGATGTCTCTGCAGAGAGCAGTTATTGGTAAAGCCTCACAGACCGTACTGCAGCCCTTGTTAGCTCAAGGTCGTGTGTGTGAGTCCACTGTGTGTTCGGGGTTTGGCTGCTTTTGAAAAGACGAGACAGAGATATAAAGACTGTGTGAGTGAAGGAAAGAACTCCTGATGGGTCCTTTAGAGCAGCAACCAGAACATCAGAGAGACTAAATGTTACTTAATTCTACTGTTGATTTTCTTAGTGCAGGCTTTTTTAATTGAAATTGAAAAATAAAAAAATAAAATTCTGGGATTATTCTTCTGTATTGTGCTTGCATCAACTTGCCAGAAACATTCCAAATATCATTCACCAAAATGTGTTATCCTGACAGATTATCATTAGGCTATAACCCTATATCATATTGTATCAATATGTTCTGAGTTTTCAGTTTCCTCTTAAACTTATTCAAATAGATACTGTAAGTAAAGGTCAGCATAGTTCTAGATTCATAGTTTCTTATCTATCTTAGTTCATAGTCTCTTATCTATCTTATCAAAGCTTGTATAGTAAATTAGTAAATAGTATATTTCCCACTTGAACATCTCACAGCTGAGCTGGGGGGAATCTGCACATGGGATACTTCAGTATCAGTCATACCCTCCACAAATGTGGCCTTTATGGACCAGTGGCAAATAGAAAGCCAGTGTTGAAATCAGGCCAGAAGCCAAGTGGGGGACACATCCAACATGTGGAAGAAGGTGCAGTGGTCAGCAAAAAATCACTTTGATGTGTAATGGAAACACTGCTCATCACTCATGCACCATCTCACTGTCAAACCTGGTGGGGGCAGCATCATGCTGTGGGCCTGCTTTTCCACAGCAGGGACGGGGAAGTGTTGCAGTTGAGGTGAATGGAGTAAAATACAGGTCACTTTTGGAAGAAAAGCTGAAGGGGTCTACAAAACACTGGAGTCGGATTTTCTCTTCCATATGGACAATTTCCTTAAACATAAAAGCCTTTTCGTGCAATGGAACCGTTTAAAACAAAACATTTGAGAATGTGTGGTAAGATCTAAAAACTGCTGTTGACAAGTGCGCTCCTTCTGTTCTGACAGAGCTTGAGCTGTTATGCAAAGAAGAATTTGGAAACAAATTCAGTCTCTATAGTTTTTCAGGCCATACGTTACACTTTACTTTTTAAATATATATATATATATATATATATATATATATATATATATATATATATATATATATACTGTATATATTCAATAATTAATACCTAACTAAAAAGAAAATGTTATTTTCCATATCCATCTGGTCTAATACATTCTTGTGGCTATATTTATCTCAAGTGTTTCTGTACTTTTGTTGGTGGTCGTCTTGTGATAGCAGCTATAATATCCACTGCCACGCTCTCGCTGGTTTATCCACAAATAAAGGGGAAACAGGCCGGATATTTGCTCTTCTATTTTGTGTCTCATGAATTATATGTTTGGCTGAGACCAGGGCTTTCTGCTGTTGTGATGTAAACAGCATGTGTCCTGCTGTTGTTTCGAGTTGCTTTAGTTTGATTGTCACTGATTATTGCTCCTCTTCAAACACAGGCTTATGTCTGCAAAATAAAAATCTTCCTTCTGAAATACTAAAAAAAGATAACCCAATTTAATAGTTTTACATTACAAAGCCGGTTCAAACGATATAATGAATATATTCTCTGGACACTCAAAGTTCCCTTCAATTTTGTGAATTAAATATTTTCTCCAAAGTCAGAGGTGGTAAACCTCTATTGGAGCCACATTTGCCCTAACAATTGTGTTGCGACTCATCTCCCACCAGCCCTCCATTCACTCATGCAAACCTGCCACTGCTGTGAGCCAGAGATCTGACAAAAAAAACACTAACCAAGCTTGACAAAGAGATTTGATGAGATTGGGCTTTCTAAAAATGATAATGCAAAAAAATAAATGCACTGACCCACATCATCAAACATTCATCAAATAAGAATTCAAACAGTCATTAGTAGCGTCAGTAGCGACAATGCGTGTCTGAAGTGGTACTTGACTGTGATTAATGGGCTCTTACAGGTTTTGAAGTGGAGTTGGCAACAGCAGATCCATTTCAAATACGTTGTGCATCCGAGCCGTGTTTGCAATCTTCCTTCTTGTCCATCTCTTTGTAGGCCCGCGTTAAGCCCCTCAACCTCACACGGGGCAATGGCCTTCATAACCAACATGACAGCACATGGGCCTGAATGACAATCGAGGCTGATGGCACGAGCGACTGTGGGCCTCTTCTGACTCCCATTCATGTGGTAAAAGCAGGGATTACCACTTGATCCAATAGACCAGCGAGAAGCGGCCTGGGCCTGGGTCAGATCTGACTCTGATTAGGTCCGTGTTGCAGCAGGAATAATACAGCCACTTCCCCCAAAGCCCTCTGATTGTTTGTGTGTGTGATCCTGGAACCAAACCGCAGCCTGGTGTCCTTTACAAAGAGAGGGGTCTGCTCTGATGGTTCAAACACATCGCACGGGCCCCTCTTCAAAAGGATCCCCAATCATCACACCCACTTACAGCCAACGGCGCATGTCACTTAATGTGGACCACACTATTCATCAATTATGGTGGGCTCAAGGGCCATCCATGTGCCACCACAGAGTTGTCTGTTGTGAGTGAAGCGCCCCCCTCAGACCCCACAGTCCCTGTTTCCCTGAGACCGCCGGCTCACGCTGCATGTCACTACTTCAAGAAGAGGGTTATCTCACTTTGTAAACGGCTGGATCTGCGCTCCTGCTGTGTGCCCGGGAACACTGGTGTACTGTACCTGAGGGTTGCCAGGTGCGCAGTGGAAACATTTCCAATTTGGGTTTACAGATTTACACATCATTTGATTTAGTTTGGAACATTACATGGAAACTTCTTAACTTGAAATAATAATAATACAATTACCCTTATTCCAAATCTCATGAAATACACGTCTCTACTGTTTGATCAAACATGTGTGCCCCAACATTCTTTCAGCAATAAAAGTGTGCCAAGCACCACTAAAGACACTCTCTTTAGGCTTTGCTCCGAGGTGGGGATGCAAATTGAGGGGGATGCAATTATTTGTGGGCAAAAGGCTGAAATGTTGCTGTATTAAGTCAGTATGTGATTTTCTATTTTTTATCTTTTACAATCAGGTAAAGTGAAAGCATATATTTACTTTGTCATCCTCCAACTTTATTTTTGTCTGTAAACTGAATGGTTGCAGGAGCACAGCAGGCTCCAGCACACACACCTTGACAATGTGCACATCTGTCCTCTGGCACGAGACTCGAGCCGGACACTGAACCGTTTACTGTCATCGCACGCCGACATGTTGCCAGGGGCCATTAGTCAAGCTTCACTGCCTTTTGGTATTCCAGTGACAAAACGTATGTTCAGGTTGTAACAGTGAAAATAAATGCCACAAATGTGGCAACCATATTTGGCTTTCCCTTTTAAGAGGCAGATGACGGCAGGAAGAGACCACACATAGCTCTCTCAGTCCAAAGACTTTCTCATGGACTAAACTCAGAACTAAAGCGTGTCAAAAGTCCACACACAGAAACTGTCAAAAATATATAGACATTTTTATTATTTTACATTTTCAGGTTATTAGCCTGTGCCAACTTCAGCCTATTTCCTCAAAATACAGATACAAATGTAATCTGTGGAGCACAAACAAATATATGGAGCTTTTGTGAATCTGAGACTGTGCAGTTTCTGTAAATATAAAAGGACCCTCCTGTGTCTTTCTAATCTTATCACATTATTTTCTTTTCTCATTATTTTGAGCAATTAGGTGATAGTGGGTAATTTCTAAACAACATCTCGACGCACATGGTCGAGGCAAGTCTCTCTGAAAATGAGATGGAGGGACTTGTTATAAAGCAAAAAGGTCCAGAGGATTCTTTTGTGAGTTCAAACTGGTTCTGATTCATCCCAGAATATTTGATTTATTTTGATCTTTCACATTTCCAAGACTCCAATGGGTATATTTGATCAAATAGCTGATGAAATGTATTGTACTCTTATGATATATAAGAGTAAAAAACAGAGCAGTTCCAGTCCAGGCACAACTTCAAAAGGTTTGTGGGATTATACAAAACAAAATCATTATTGATGTCACACCTATGTATAATATCTTATGAAATAATGATTTACTGTTGACAATCAGATCAGATAACAAGTAGCTGGGTTCATAAAACGGTTACAAACATATGCGCAACAATGATCTAAATATGAAAAACTAGTTGAACTTCTGCGGCCCGATCCCGGGTTCAGCATTTCAACAAAGACCATATTTGACAATGTCTAGACAAAAATGGAAATAGTGAGGCTTATTAATAGTGTGATGGATGTAAAATACTTCAGGGAGGTCTGAATTAATAATATCCAGAATCTGTGCTCCCCGTCATGTTGATTCAATTACAATAGCTCCAAGCTGAAGTCAGCGGCAGATTTTGTGTAAAATTATGGATGTGATAATGTTTACGTCCCATATGAAAAGGATTTAACATATTGTACATGCCAAATGTCCATTCGACTTTACAAGGTTTTTAATGAGTGGAGAGAAGAACATATAAGTATCAATCAATCATGTGCTTCCAACGCACCATCAATCAAATATATGTATATATTATGTACTTTATACTTCTGTCCCTTTAATATCACACCTCTGGACACTATTAACAATCTGCACTGTAAAACCTCTGCTGTGTAATAACAATGCATTGGTTTTATATTGGTTTATATATACATTTTTGGACACTAAAATCTGATACCTATATGTATTTTTTTCCACATCACATTTTAAATTTATAGTAATATAGTCAGATTATATAGATTTATTCAATTACAGGTTCTGTTAATTTGGTTGGTATGGTATGTTTTTTTATTTTTACAGGGACAGTGTACATAAACATTCCCAAAAGGAGAGATGCATTGTACCAGGTTGCAGCAGCAGTGATCATTTTACTCCTGTAGTCCCTGAGCAGGTTTTTGTAAAACAGTAAAATAAGTAAGATAAGTAGATGGAAACATTACCATACATAGGAAACACACTGATCAAAAGATTTGATTGAGAATTGACTTGGTCTGAAACAAAATCACATACTAGACCAAAAAACAATTTTATCATTAAAACTGTGCATTTAATTAACTATGATATACACTATTGGATGTAGGATAATACAAATTATGTATTTATAGATTATAAAATTATAATTCAGTGGTTTCAGATATGTGGTTTTATATGAGACCAGCCTCCTAATTGTATGCAATATTGTTTTTCTGTAAGAAGTGTTTTAGGTTATAGATCAAATCCTACATGATTAATTAGGTATCTTTTTATTAATATTACAGTTGGCGTTTTATCATCTTTCCTTTTTTACAGTCGGAAGAGGAGAGAATAAACAACTGCAGGCGCACACGCTCGCACAGGAAGAAGCATGAAAACAGCAGTAATGGGAAAAAGATGAGTGGCTTACAGTCAGATCACCCACCGCTCTGCTGCAGGACCACTGCCTCACAACACACACACACACACACACACGCACACACACACACACAGTCAGATCACCCACCGCTCTGCTGCAGGACCACTGCCTCACAACAACACACACGCACAGATATACATACATAGGCAAGCACACAAATGACACACACACTCTCACACACACTGTATGCCACTATAATGATGCTATTAACAGGATTAACATGTTTTTACCTCTCAGCTGTAAAGTTTTGTCTTTATTTAAATTATTGAATAATAAGCCTCTTCACTAAGTATATGCCTGTGTGTGTGTGTGTGTGTGTGTGTGTGTGTGTGTGTGTGTGTGTGTGTGTGTGTGTGTGTGTGTGTGTGTGTGTGTGTGTAAGCTGAAAACTGATTGTTTTATTGTAAATGGACTGTCAATCGGTGTTTTAAATAATTGGTTTTATTGTAAGTAAGTCAGCTTTATTTGTATAGCGCATTTCACAGATCAAGGTCACACAAAGCACTTAACAATTGTTGTTCCATCGTGGGACGACGGGTGGAAAACCTGGCACATGACTTATTCTTTGTTTAAATGTTATCTGTGCATCGTCCCTGATCAAATAAATACATTCAAATGATAGTCACAAAAACCTTGTTGATAACAAATGACATATAGTTATTTATTAACATAACAAAACCAAAAATGTTGGTTTGTCCCAATTTAACATATGTTTTTATTAGTTTACTACTGACTTCAAAATATGGAACGTTTATATTTTTTCATTAATTATCATTATTCTCATTGCTTTACTGTCACATATTTTGCATCGTGTTCATTTGATTAATTGCCGGCGCTCCACAGTTTTTCTATTACACATTCTCCGGCTGTGTAGCTGAATGAATGCTCCTCCAGTCACACCCCATATGCAGTAGTCCATTGATTCCTCCATGTGCAGTGCAGGAAAGACTGTGTCATCTCTGTTTATTTTCCTTTCTCTGTGCTGTCTTTTCCACTCTGCAGGGCGCAACGATAACACCAAAAAACCCCAACGCTCGGCTCACGGCGGCCGGCCCCAAGTCCTCGGAGGGACCACAAGGGCCCTTAGAACAACACGAGACAGGACCCGACGCTGCCTTAATGATGGCCCACTGGTGAGTCTCTCCGCTGTTTGTTCAGAGCTTTGGTTTTGGCACAAATCAAGTGTCTCTACAGGAGAGGCCTCTGGGGACTCACAACACGACTTTGATTTGTGACTTGAAGGACGGACTGCTCCAGAACGGTTCAAATACATAACATAGTATGCAGGCCCTCTTCTAGTAGCAGGGACTCAAGCAGACACAGGAAAAGAAATGGAAGCTACACCTAACAACAATAACACAATAACTTTGGTTCAAGCTGCTACTTCTTCCCATAAGTAGGAAATCAAATCATTTTAACGCTGGGCAACCTAACCCCCTCTCCCTCCCCATCTATCTATCTAATGTATGATCACATGTTATTAAAAATCAGACCACATTATGCAGTTTTTATCTCAGTAGAACCATGTTATCTTTTGTATCTTTTACATCTATGTCACTTTTTGGTCTAAAAAAAACGAATCTAAAATTATATAAAACTAATAAATAATGTTTGTGGTTTGAAAGGGAGGTCCCCCCAGCTTCAACTCGACCATAACATTGTAGTAGCGAATTTAAAGCAGCTGCAAGTGTTGGTATGGACACAATGAAAACACATTTTGAACGCTATTGTTTTGTAGGAAAGGGGTCATTGCAATGCTTTTAATTGTTTTGTATTGCACATGAACGAGTCTGTGATTTCATGTTATTCCTGTTATTATCCTATAGTGACAAAACCGAGTTGTTTTTAACGATATCGCACGTTTTTTGAGTACGTTGTTTTGAGGAGCAGTCAGAAATGCTATTGCGAAGTTTTTAATTTGTTGCAGCCCTTTGTCGTCATTTCAACAGATTTAAACCTAGAGAAACATTTCCTCCTCCAAAAAAGACTCATTAATTTTCTGCATAAAGCCAAGTTCATCTTTGTACGCCGCTTTATCCATTGTGTAACCAGTGAGGGCTGAATAATATTTGGACAGGTGCTGGCTTACATACATGGACTTGAAGGGAGTATAGAGTGACGATTCACGGTGAGAAAAGAGGGGATCAGTGGTTTAAACAACAGCATTCTAACATGTCTAATCCTTGACAATAAAACAAAAAAAGTTTAGCACAAGTTCTCCACTACTTTTGAAACCTGTTTTCTGCCCTTCTTCCATACAACAGCGGCGCTCACATCTGGCCGACAGATGTACTTCTCGCTGCGTCTCTCTCACTCTCTCTTCTGCAGGGAAACATGAGAGCAGGGCTAATTCGCGCTGCAGCCTCCCACCCACCAGCGCGCAGCCGGACCACCCACATTCGGAAACGCCTCGCAGTTCTCGGGGCAGAGACGGCAAACCGAAGCCGAGGGAGAGAGATGTAAGGATGGGTTAGCAGTTTTAGCTCAGTGTTTCATTACAGCCGTGCCGCAGCGAAACCTGCTATTGTGAACACAGAGACACAAAAGACGCTGATGACACAGTGATTACAGACTAATAAAATGTGCAATTATAACTTCAACAATGTATTATCCCTCTCCCAATACAAGAGGGTTGAAAGTGAGAAGTTAATAATACGTTTGTTGTTTCAAAAATATGATGTTTGTCCAAACAGAAAGAGCTTTGATGATGAAACAATTCAGACCATCTTATCAGAAAACAATGACTCTTGTACCTACTGCAAGCTGATTGGCTGAGTGAGGGCTGGTACTCTCTGATTCACTGAGAAAGGTGATAGAATCAAATAGTTTTGAGAACTAGGAAAAACATTTTTTTTTGTATGATTGTATTGCATAGTTAACTTGCTGTAGTTTAAAAGTTAGGTACTCAAAAATGTATAGTTAAATTTAGATCTATACACGACACGGGGGAAGCCTTTTGCGCAAAAGCCGTTACAAGAATGCTTAAAAGGTGTGTGTGTGTGTTTTAATGCCCAGAAAGTTTAATGTTCCTTTATAAGCAACACTGATTGAAATAAACCTAGATAAGATGTCTCAGTATTTCTTAGAGAAATAGTCATCTTTAATAACTCAAAATATAAATAGCATCTTTTTATAATACATATTGATGTATAAATGAAATTTAAAAATGAGCTATTAATTTCCCTTTTCTCTTTTACAGAGAGCGCTGAACAGTAGCACTTGAAATTATGGTTATTATTGGTTTTTTATTTGTTTTTTTAGAATTACAATAATTGAATAATATATATTTTCTTACTGAGGTGTGGCAGTGGATCACTAGTTTATAGTAAAGTAGTCAGTTAGCTATGAATCAATTTTCTGTTCATTCTCTGAACCCGGGAGCAACTTTAAATGCAGCCATAACTTTAATAAAACAAAAGTAATCTTTTTTGATTTGTTCTGAAGGTGAATGTCTCCACCTTGTGGACATTTGAATGTGTTGCATTCAGAAAGATGAACAAACTGTGACTCACGCTCATGTGGCTATAAAGTTTATTCAACAGAGCCTCTGCAGTATTTAGTGTTCAGCTTTATCCATATGTCATCAATAACACCTCATGTCACTGTTAAATAAGCAGGTAATAACCAGACACATATTTTCAGTTTGATCCTATTTTGTTGAGTTGAGTTTGATTAAAGGGGCGGCAGTGGCTCAGTTGGTAGAGAATTGGCCTCCCACGAGACCTACTCCAACTGCTCCTGCTGATGTCTGCTGTTGTGTGAACATCAGACATGTGTCACCGCTGACAGAGCAGCAGCCATCTTCCTGTGAGCGAGGGACTGGTGCTATGAGCATTGGGAGGCAGCTCTCATTGCCACCCCCCCCACCCAGAAATGGAATAATGTCGGGGTAGAAAATGAATGAATGAATTTGATTAAACTCAAAAACTCAAACTAATAAAATAATCCACAAATAATAAGTGGTAATCTTGTGAAAACTGGATCATTGTCCTCTCTCACAAAAACTTAAATAATACCATTTTGATTCAGAAATTAAACTCAAAATGTGCAAATGTGTTTAAATTCAGAAATACTGCAGAGAAGTATAAAATTAATTAAATTTTAACTGTTTTGAACTTTTCTTTTTGTGATTATTGAGGCACAAGAAGGTTACATTCTTTGGAAAAAGCTTCTGTAACTGAAGCTGAAACAATAAAAACTAAAAATCTATAATATTCTATTCTTTGGTTTTCACTTTGTTTTCTGTGTTTTCCTCCTCCCCACTTCTGTTGCTACTGACCCGACAGTAGCGCCCACTGCGCCGCCCACTGGCCCCCCCACAAAGAGCCCCACCAGAGCCCCCAGCAGAGCCTCTCTCCTCACCAGCTTGGGCAGCCTCCAGAGCCAGGCACTCAGAGTGGCCCACAGCCCTGACCAGAAGGAGCGTGCTGGAGACACCGGGGCATTGCAGGGGAACAGAGCTTCTAGATCCAGATTCAAGTCTGTGGTCCGCTCTGCCTCCTGCCTCACCTCCTCCACGGCTCCACAGTCCAGTCCCTCCTCCGCTCTCTGTCGCAGGATCTCCTCCTGTCGCTCCAGGATCTTCTCCTCTGTGTCCCGGTACAGCTGGCAGCTGAAGTGGTCCACACCGCTCTCGACCACAGCCTGGTCCACTTTGTCCAGCAGCTCTCGGACTGCCTCTTCAGACTCTGCTCTACCTACACATGTCATTTCACAATGTAATTAAGACTGTTAATAAAGTTATTAACAGTCCTCGATCATTGGGTTAGAGGAGGGGAAGGCATGGCTAGAGTTATGGTTATAGGTTAAGGTTAGGATCCAGGATCTTCTTTAACATTGCCTCAGGAAGGTTAAGTACTTCATCATTCTTGTTTATCCATTGACATTAGAATCCCTACTGCATGACACCCACCTAGCCCAGTCTCCAGCGTGTGGTAGTGGTCTTCACAGCGCTTCACCAGCTCAGTCAGGTCTTTCCTCCATGTGAGCAGATAGTCCTCCAGGCTCTCCTCCTGGTCCAGCTCCTCCGTGTGAGTGAACAGCACTATGGTGCTTTTCACCACAGCAGGACCAAGGAGCTTCTCCAGAACATCCAGGGCCTTGGCCTCTCCATCAGCCGGCTGGTTCAGGGGGACACACAGGAGGAAGGCGTGCGGTCCAGGGCTAGACAAGGCTAACAGGGAAGAGAGCTGTCTCCTCCTGTCCTCTGGGACACAGCCTGAAACAAACCAGTCTGCACTGGACACTACAGTCACCTGGAGAAGACACGTCAAAGAAGGACAGGAGCTTAGAGTGCGGTGGGTGTGCCATCCCAGCCAAGGACAGCACTAACGTAAAGTTTTAGTTATTACACTGTAAGCATCAAAATGAATGCTAACAATAACATTCCATGAAGTACAGAGTGTGTGTGTGACGTCACCTGTCTGTCTGCAGCCTGCACTCGGTGTACACTACATTCCTGGCGGACAGCTGCGCTCTCCTGCAGGCCCAGGATGCAGCTCCCGACCCGGCCCAGCACAACCACCCGGAGCTCTGCCACGCAGTAACAGTGAACTTTAACAACTCTTATTCTACTAACAATGACGTTTACTACTCACAAAGTCAAACAATCTCTTACTCTCGTGTCTATGGCCAAGACGCTTTATATTCAAGAAATGATCCATGATTAATGTCAACTGTTTTAAAGTGCGTTACTGCACAGCGAGCATTAACATTCACTCACAACGACATATTAGTGAACAAGTTTTCTTACATGAAGAGAGGTAGAGAAGCCTTACCGGACTGACTCGGAGCGGACATTCCCTCAGATCCTCAGATGAAGTATAAAGAGCACTTCCTTGTTTGGGTTGTTACAGTCACTGCAGCATCATACACATGCGCCTCAGACACAGCTGCAGCATCATACACATGCGCCTCAGACACAGCTGCAGCATCATACACATGCGCCTCAGACACAGCTGCAGCATCATACACATGCGCCTCAGACACAGCTTTTTTTTTTTTTTTTTTTTTTATTCCAAGTGTGCAAGAAACAAGTACATTTCTCAACAACGTAGACACATTGATGCACTAATATTGATCAAATAAAATAAAATACATACATACATTACATGCAGGGGTCTGCTAATCGACTAATACATTAAATTTTTTTATCAATGTGATTGTTCTAATTAATTTCTTATTTTTTAGTTTTAAATTTTCAATACAGGCTAGATAGGTTTTCAGATCAGAAGCTTTAAAAGCAGAAAAGGAAGGTTTTTTTTCACAGAATTTAGTTTTATGGATGTAGTACTTTCCTAAGATCAGTATTAGATTTATAATGTAAATTTCATCAGAGGAGAATTTTTTATCATTATATATTAGTAAAATTTGAAATTTGGAAATATTAACATTTTTATGGAATATTCCAGCCAAATAGTGTTGCACATTGGACAAAAAATCGAACTATAATAGGACATTCAACAAATAAGTGTTCAATACTTTCACCATCACATTGACAAAAGGAACATTGGTTACTTAGATTAGGTAAAAAACGACAAATATTGTCTTTTACAGGGTAATATCTGTGTACAATTTTAAATAAACATTCCTTGACTTTATTTGTGATTATATATTTGTAGGGCAACAAAAAAACCTGATTCCAATATTTTCGGTTAAATGAACCCCACCTATGTTTACATACTGGATTGGCCAATTGTATAAGACTATCCCTAATATATTTGTTTGTGCACTTTTTATCTTGTAAGCTTACACCTAAAATGGAAACATCCGTGAAATGTGAGTCAATAAAATGAATACTTTGCGCTAATGTTCTTATACTTTGAGGTATTGACTTTACAACCACATCAAACTCATGCTCAGGTATTTGATCATACTTTTCTATGAAAACCTTATACTCATAAAAATCACCATTATCATCTAAAAGTTGTTTCACAGTATTTATATTTTTGTCAAACCAGTTCTCTAAATATAAGGATTTCCTTCGATGCAGGATGTAAGCATTGTTCCATAAAATACAATTGTGAGGAGAATAGTTGTGTTTGTAAAGTAAAGACCAGTACAGTAAAACCTGTTGATGAAACTTGGCTAATTTCACAGGAAGTTTTCCAACAGCAAAGGGACAATGCAGAAGAAAATTCAGGCCTCCCAACGTTCCAAAAAAATAATTTGGGAAGATATTCCATAAACAATTTGGATTTTTTAAAAATCGTTTTATCCAATTAATTTTCAAAATCTGATTTAAAGCAGTAAAAGTTAAGACGTCCAATCCACCTTCAGCTAAAGAATTGGTGAGAACTGTTTGTTTTAATTTATGAGCTTTGTTTTTCCACAGGAATTTGAATAAGATTTTATCAAGATTAGAGCAGAGCGTTTTGGAGACATCTAGTGTTGAGAATATGTAAGAGGCTCTGGACATTCCTTCTGCCTTGCTTAACAAAACTCGACCATTAATAGAAAGATCTCTTCCCAACCAGCTATTAAATTTCTTCTTTATAGCATCCGTAACAGACAAAACATTTTCTGTCATATTTCTACTCTCCTTAGATATTTTTATGCCTAAATAAGTCACCGTATCCTTCACAGGGATGTTGCAGATATCTCTAAGATTAGTATTATATAGAGTTAGAATGTCACATTTTTTTAAATTAAGTTTCAGCCCAGAAATGTTTGAAAATGTAGATATTGTGGACAAGGCTGATTGGACTTCTTCAGCATTTTTAAGAAATATAGTTGTATCATCGGCTAATTGAGATATTTTAATTTCTTGCTCAAAAACCTTAATCCCTTGAAAGGAACTTTGTCGAATCAAATAATTCAAAATCTGTCCCACAAGTAAAAAAATATATGGTGAAACTGGACAACCTTGTCTTACACCTTTGTTGATATCAAATCTGTAAGATGTACCAAAGAGCAATTTCACAGCACTGTTGTTGTTCCGATAAAGAGTCTTAAGAGCTTTGATAAAGAAATTTCCAAAATTTAGAAAATGTAATGTATCAAAAATAAATGTATGACTTACAGTGTCAAAAGCCTTTTGGTAATCTAAAAAAAGAATCAAAGGATCACCTGGCAATAAGTCCCTATAATGAACTAGATCTAAAACTAATCTTATGTTATCTGCTATTTGCCTCCCAGGCATGAATCCGTTTTGAGACTCATGAATAATATCGTTTAAACCACATTTTAATCTTTTAGCCAACAGGGATGCTAAAATTTTATAGTCATTATTGAGTAATGTAATACCTCGCCAATTATCAATAGTCAAACGGTCTTTATGTGGCTTTGGTATTAAAGTTATGAGACCTTGTTTCATTGAAGTAGGTAACTCTTCATTGTTAATAGATTCATTGTAAACTGCAAGAAGAAATTCAGAAATCTCATGTGAAAATAGATGATAAAATTCTGAAGTTAGCCCATCATTACCTGGCGACTTATTTGGTTTTAAATTTTTGATTGCACTTCTTATTTCTTCTACAGACAAGGATTCATCACAATCTTCTTTAAAAGTCTCGTTTGCTTTTTTTACATCTTTCAATGAATGGAGGACCAATGTACTGTCCATGCAGATATCTTTCTTATAAAGGTTACTGTAAAAATCAGATACATATTGAGAAATTGTAGTATAATTTTCAGACAATACATTGTTTATACTCAATTTAGTTAATGACTTTCTTTCATAGTTTCTTTTTTCAATACCAAAAAAATATTTGCTGTTTTTCTCCCCTTCTTCAATCCATTTCAATCTTGATCTGACAAATGCTCCTTGAGCCCTTTCTCTAAAAATCCCATCTAATTCTTCTTGACATTTAAGTAATTGTGTGAGTAATTCGTTATTATTATCGTCTAAAATCTGAGTGGTAATTTCTGAAATACGTTTAATCAGTTGTTCTAGATTCTTTTTTTTATTTTGATTTAGTCTCTTACTGAAGTGGATAATAAATTTTCTAATTTCATATTTAAGTAGCTCCCAATATTTTCCAAATTCATTATTGATTGTTGCTAGAGTCCAGTATTGTTTGATAAGTTTCTTTATAACAGAGGTAAGATCAGTATTGTTTAACAGCAAATTGTTAAGTTTCCAGAAGTTATATACTCTTCTGTTTTCTTTACATGTCAAGTTCAGTTTTATGGAAATTGATCTATGATCAGTTAATATAGCTGGACAAATTTCTACCTCTGATACACATTGCTCAATTTCCTTTGATATTAACCAAAAGTCAATTCTAGATAAGGAAGAAAATGTTTTGTTGTTCCATGTATATTGACGTTCATCAGGATGCCGAATCCTCCATATATCTATTAAGTTTAGATGGTTTGAAAATTCAATCAAATGTTTGTCTTCATGTCTTGATTTTGAAGGATGTCTATCAGCATGGTTTGACCACACCATATTGAAATCTCCTCCCAAGATCAATTTTGCCGAAGTATATTTTGTGTGTAGAGTATTAACAACGGCTTGTATTTCATTCAACAAAGTTGAGTTTGCAGAGTCAGAATTATAGCCATAAACATTCCCCAACAAAAAAATGGAAGAGTGCAACTCAATTACTATTATAATCCAATGACCTTTGCTATCAGATATAGAATCTAAACATTTTCCTTTAAAATTATCTTTTAAAATAATGACTCCTGCTGATTTGTTTGAGCCGTGTGCAAACCATAAATCCTTCCCCCACTGATTCTTCCAGAATGAAACATCTTCTGAGTTAGAGTGACATTGTTGAAGAAAGATAAAATCTGATTTAGCCTCTTTAGAGAACAAAAAAAAAGCTTTTCTTTTAATATTATCGCGCAGACCCCTTGTATTAACAGACAAAAGTGTTAAATCCAAAATAACTTTTTACAGAACCTTTTACAAACCTCTCAAGACATTAACTGAAACCACAACTCCTGGTAACATATTTGAAACCTCAAATGTACATACACATGAGTGAACGTGTATGTATTTATATTGAACATAAATATGTAGTCTTACCACACTTCATCATTGAGTGTAGCAATAGAAATTCGCAGTGAGGACAAGTTCAATCAATCTTCTTTGTCTTGCCATTCAGAGTCAGGAAGGAACGCTGCGTCGAACTTCTTTGCCTTCCACGTATCCTCTACGTCCCACGAAGTATGCCTTCTTACCATCTTTACGGGCCTGCTCGATGATGGGCCACAGCGCCGCTCTGGCGTCCTTGTCTTCCTTAGTTAAATCTTCTCCAAAGCGCAACTTGTTGTCTCGTAGGTAGCTGTTGTTTTTTGCACTTCTCCAGATCTCGTCTCTTAATGAGCGGAGAGCGAACAGAATGATGACCCCTCTGGGCTTGTTAGCATCACGCCTTCCCAGCCTGTGAACTACGTCAATCCCCTCCGATGTCTTCAGTCCGAGCGCAGGAACCACTTTTTGACAGATGGTCATGACCTTCTCCTTCACGTTTTCTCCATCATGTTCAGGCAGACCGTACATGCGAAGGCACCATCTGCGCTTCTATCGTTCAGCCTCAGCAACACGCTCCTCTAGATTCTCCATTTCAGTCTTTAGCTTTCCACACGTTGTTTTCAATGCATTATTCTCTTTCTTTATCTCATCAATCTCGTCATGCAAGTACCCGATCGACTGTTTAATCTCTTTAATGTCCTCAGAATTCAGATTGATAAGCACCTTTACCTCCTCTGCTCTGTCGTTGACCGCTTTGAGGATGGCGTGTAATGAAGGCTCTTTCTCCCCACTGCATGTTTTCTTTGGCGCGGGGCTGTTAACTGGCGAGTCAGGGAGTGGTGAAAAATCTTCATCAATTTCCAACATACCAAAGCTGTTCTCACTGGCGTAGTCATGCTCGTCCATCATAGTATGCGTATCAGAGCTTCTTGTCTTACGTTTGAGTTCCTCTTTCATGGCTTTAGAGTTCTTCAACATGTTCAAAGCGTGCTTGGAAAATCCGCTAGCTTAATGCTAATAAAAGGCTAACGGTCTTTCAGTAAAATATTTTTTTTCCACTCACTTTAAACTAGTTTGTTTTGTCCCGTCCTCTCAAATATACCAATATAAATGTCCTTTGCTTCCAATTGGTTTCTCAAAATTGTCCAGTTTGAGTTGGAGTTAAAATTTAAGCCATACATCTCAAAAAGTCTGTGGACTGGCCGCCATCTTGCGCGGTCCTCTCTCCTCAGACACAGCTGCAGCATCATACACATGCGCCTCAGACACAGCTGCAGCATCATACACATGCGCCTCAGACACAGCTGCAGCATCATGCACATGCGCCTCAGACACAGCTGCAGCATCATGCACATGCGCCTCAGACACAGCTGCAGCATCATGCACATGCGCCTCAGACACAGCTGCAGCATCATACACATGCGCCTCAGACACAGCTGCAGCATCATACACATGCGCCTCAGACACAGCTGCAGCATCATACACATGCGCCTCAGACACAGCTGCAGCATCATACACATGCGCCTCAGACACAGCTGCAGCATCACACACATGCGCCTCAGACACAGCTGCAGCATCATACACATGCGCCTCAGACCAGCTGCAGCATCATACACATGCGCCTCAGACACAGCTGCAGCATCATACACATGGCCTCAGACACAGCTGCAGCATCATACACATGCGCCTCAGACACAGCTGCAGCATCATACACATGCGCCTCAGACACAGCTGCAGCATCATCACATGCGCCTCAGACACAGCTGCAGCATCATACACATGCGCCTCAGACACAGCTGCAGCATGCATACACATGCGCCTCAGACACAGCTGCAGCATCATACACATGGCCAGCCTGCAGACACAGCTGCAGCATCATACACATGCGCCTCAGACACAGCTGCAGCATCATACACATGCGCGCTGCAGCACACGCTGCAGCATCATACACATGCGCCTCAGACACAGCTGCAGCATCATCACATGCGCCTCAGACACAGCGCTACACATGCCCTCAGACACAGCTGCACAACACATGCCCTCAGACACAGCTGCGCCTCAGACACAGCTGCAGACATAGCGCTCAGACACAGCTGCAGCATCATACACATGCGCCTCAGACACAGCTGCAGCATCATACACATGCGCCTCAGACACAGCTGCAGCATCATACACACGCCTCAGACACAGCTGCAGCATCATCACATGCGCCTCAGACACAGCTGCAGCATCATCACATGCGCCTCAGACACAGCTGCAGCTCATACACATGCGCGCCTCAGACACAGCTCAGCGCAGCATCATCACATGCGCCTCAGACACAGCTGCAGCATCATCACATGCGCCTCAGACACAGCTGCAGCATCATCACATGCGCCTCAGACACAGCTGCAGCATCATACACATGCGCCTCAGACACAGCTGCAGCATCATACACATGCGCCTCCGCTGAGTCACACATGCGCCTCAGACACAGCTGCAGCATCATACACATGCGCCTCAGACACAGCTGCAGCATCATACACATGCGCCTCAGACACAGCTGCAGCATCATACACATGCGCCTCAGACACAGCGCGCATCATACACATGCGCCTCAGACACAGCTGCAGCATCACACACATGCGCCTCAGACACAGCTGCAGCATCATACACATGCGCCTCAGACACAGCTGCAGCATCATACACATGCGCCTCAGACACAGCTGCAGCATCACACACATGCGCCTCAGACACAGTGCAGCATCATACACATGCGCCTCAGACACAGCTGCAGCATCATACACATACGCCTCAGACACAGCTGCAGCATCATACACATGCGCCTCAGACACAGCTGCAGCATCATACACATGCGCCTCAGACACAGCTGCAGCATCACACACATGCGCCTCAGACACAGTGCAGCATCATACACATGCGCCTCAGACACAGCTGCAGCATCATACACATACGCCTCAGACACAGCTGCAGCATCATACACATGCGCCTCAGACACAGCTGCAGCATCATACACATGCGCCTCAGACACAGCTGCAGCATCATACACATGCGCCTCAGACACAGCTGCAGCATCACACACATACGCCTCAGACACAGCTGCAGCCATGGATCTAGAAAAGAATCTGTCTATTTACCCCCAGGACTCTGCTCTACGCTCTGTTCATGTTCATGTAGTTTTAACACAAACTAAGATTAATACAAGACAAGAAATGTGTCTCCTTTAATTAAATTAGTACGTAAAACTAAACGTGATGAGACGTAATGTCGCTCCTAGAAGTGAGTTAACACTTAATGTTGCTAAATAATTGTTTAAAATACATTACAATACGTTTATTTAATGGTATTTTTTAATATCATTGTTTTGAAACATCTCAGTCAGCAAGGCGAGTGACCATCCCAAGTATAAGTTTATAATTATAATATATATTTTAAAAGAAATCAGCTGCTGTCTCTTTGTCCTGTTTTTGCCCTTGTGTTGCAGTGAAACATAAGCAAAGGAAACACAGATTGGGCTTTAAAGTGTAATCCATGTCTTCTGAGTCACGTTTACTCTATAAACGCAATGTGCCTTGGCCTCATGGATCTATTGGCTTGGCCTCCATTTACAGCATGCACGCTTGTCAGCCCATTGATGAAGTATAACCATCAAACTCCTGGGAAAAAAATATGTGTCCCTTTAGAGTCAAACCAAACCTCCTGTGATGAACCTATGCCAGTTTGAACCCAATATTCACAAATAAAATGTAATCCAAACATTTGCAAAAGAAAGTGAGGGGTTTACATGGAGTTTTTCCCCTTTATTTCAGACCCTTATCTCTCGTTTTCAGTAATATTTGCCTCTATTTGCCACCTCTACAAGACATAGGACAACCATTGAGCCAACTTGTGATCATATTTATTACACCATCATGAATTTCCTTATTTTGAGTTTTTTTCATCACAAATCTACAGCACATTGACATACAGTTAACCAATAATGCTGCTCGGGAGATGATTCTATGATTTTCCTATACAATGTCAGTACAAAATATAAAAGCATACCTCATAATTATTTGAAAATGTCTCATTCACACAAGTTCACACATCACTTTAAAACCAAGGAATTACAAAGTCCTTGTTTAAATACAATGCCCCCCCCCCCCGTTTTTCACATTAAAATAATACAGTTAATAAAAATAATAAGCAGCTAAACCACGTCGCTCAGAGCCCGGGCATGATGTAGGCAATGTTGTCCAATGTATTTGACTGTAGAGAAAAAAGCAAAGAATGCATTTTATTAGTATAAAGTTGATTTGATATTATAAATGAATAAATGTCATACCAGAACTTTCCGCGGACAGCCGTTTAACTGTGGGATCTGTGCAGTGAGACACGTCAGCGGGCCCAGTGCGCACAGGATGGAGTCCAAGAGCACAGACAGACTCCCTGACACTGCCACCATCCCCTAGTGCACAGGGAAATGTTTAAACGAGTGATGGGAAATTATAAATCCAGAGTTTATATTATTTTATTATGTTATCTGGTGGTCTTATTTCCTCCTTTTATTCTGATGTACTGTGGGCAACAATGACATTGAAATTTCCACACTGTGGGACACATAAAGGCTTATCTATACAAATACAGTTGCCATTAGCAACTGTAGTAGATTTGAATAATTCTGATGCTCATAGATAAAAGCAAATTCACATAATTGCAGAACAACAGGTCTCTGGACAAATACCTCAGTCTCCTGCAGCCTGTGTCCGATCAGTGACAAGGACTCCCCCAGCAGCTGCAGGTGGGCCGCCGCATCGATGGGGTCTACCTCTGGGACTCGAGCTGGAGACAGGGACACGCTATGGCCTTTGTGGGGGGATGTCACTCCCACGGAGCCCCCACCGCCTTTTATAAACACAAACAGAATGAATACATATGTCACAGTGCACAAGAACAAGTGAATAAAACCACAAGATGTTTTTAAACCTTTCATGAGGCGACCTTTGCCTTTGCCGTCAGCCGAGCCTTTGTGTTTGATTGTTGTGGCCTCAGCTTTGTTCTGTTTGTGCTGTAGGTGCTGAGCTTTCTGCCTCCACACCTGGAGACACACACACACACATTGCATTCAACAATTCATTGATTGATTGATGATTTATGAGCATCAGTAGAACACTCACAAGTTTGTCTTTCTCTGGCAGAGATTTCCACACTTCTGCCAGCCGTTTGCTCAGCTCACCAAAATCTAGCAGCACACATAAGAAAAGGTCGAATGTAAGATCAAAAAGACAACCCCTTAAGGATTTCACGTTTGCAAAAAATAGAAATTGGGCTTGTCTGAAACTTTCCTGCAACAAATATGTCAGGCCATAAATGTGCACATGTATGAAACTTTTCTACTTCTATACGCTCCTTTGTCAGAAAGGGCTGGAGTTTTTACTGATATTTCCACCATAACCAAATGGCACCTCTATCTCCGGCTCTGTACAAACAGGAAGAGCATCCAAGCCTTTATATTGAGTTGTCATGTTTTTAAGTCTCTGCTCTGGTCTCCTGTCGTCCTTCCTCCTCACTGCTCCACAAAGCATCATATCTTCCTTCTGCCTCAATCTAGAAGTACTTTCACACTATTCTCTCCACTCCCGCATGATCTCATCAGCAGCAGAAAAATATACAGCTCCTGGGACATGGCAGGAGAACGCTCCATAAATGTGTAGAACAAACTTTACTCTAGATCTCATATTTCCATTGATAAAACAATATTTTCATTCATAAATTATAACTTTTTTTAACAACTACCTGCAAAATTCACTTATTTAAAATAGCAACGATCAAAATGCCTGGAGATACTGAAAGGAGCATCCCGTCTAGTATCGAAAACCTACCTAATCCCGGCTGTTCTGCGTTGATGTTCACTCTGTATTCTTTGCAAAATACTTGATAAGCAGTAGTTGTGGTCTTTTTCTTAGGCTAGAAGGACAGACATGAAACGCAAACAAAGCAAATATCAGTACAAACAACTCTAGAGTGTGAATGACTCCTGGGACCTCACCTTCTCTTTGTCGTTGCCATGTTTGTCTCGATCTTTCTCTTCCTTCTTCTTCTTCTTCTTCTCCGGTACGATGTCTGGGCCCGGGTGGTGCAGCGGAGGGTGGGGTGTACTCATGGCGTACATGGGTCCGACAGAGCTGTGGCTGACCGTGGGGTGGGAGTGGCTGTGTCTCGATGCGTCTAGTGGAGAAAACATGTCTATTTTACTACAATGGCCACCGTTTACAGAGTGAAACTATGTGCAGGCTTCTATTGACATTAACCTCCAAACCCTTTGCTGTGCTTCTTGTCCTTCCCACTCTTCTCCCGAGCGCGGTCCTTCTCTTTGTCCTTCTTCTTCTTGCTTTTCTTACTCTTCTTCTTCTTCTTGGACATGTGGGTGTTGTAGGAGTCGTCGATCACCAGTTCTCCCGCCTCCAGCTCGCCTCCAGATGAAGAGCTGTCGTCCCCCAGGCCTCCCCCAAAGTGGCCTGTGATGATGAAGGCGATACAATTTGTCTAAACATTCAGATTTGATATGTCCAGGTAATGTGATGCAAGACTTTACTGTTCTGCGGTTTTTAACAGGAGATCATTGGACTTGTTTTTTTTTTAATTGTTAAAAGACCTATGCAGTGGCTTACAATGAAAACAATTTTAAAGCGTAAAACAAGAGGCTCCTTAACTTAATATAGTGCACTTTCTTTTTAGCCTTATTTTAACTTGACTCCTCATGGGGTCCAGCAAATGCCACCATAGCATTTTGTGAACTTAGTAATGAGGAATACATCATAAACAAGCTGTAAAAAAAATAAATAAATAAAATAAAAGATGCACAACTGGCAAATAGAAACAGAATCTTTGTTGATAACCGCTCGAACTGAACCAATACAGTAAAAACCAGCAATCTCTGCATGGGCACGACGCTTTGCTTAGGATGAGAGAAATAAGGACCATTATCTTTTCTGGTATGTAAGGTACCCTACCTGATAACTAGGGTCCTTAAATACCAGAACAGCACAATGAATCAAGCATTTTAAATCCTTGCTTAAAACTTAGCTTTTTATTGTAGGAAATTGAATGAACATTTTTTTTTGCCTTGCCCAGAATGTTTTACTGTTTCAAAATTTGCTTTCAAAAGAAATGTAACCTGACTTTGATATTTTTCTTACCTTCGACCTCCACTTCTTTGCCCACCACCAGCAGAGGCTCCCGACTCTGCTGTGTTTTCTTTTTGGACGATTTCCCGATCTGAATCCGCTCTTTGTCCTTCTCCTTCTTGATGCTTCCTTTGGAGTGCGGCGTGTACAAGTAGCCCTCGCTCTCCTCCTTCTCCGGCGACATGATTAGCTTCATCTTGAGCCCGTCCGCTTCCCGTAGCGTGAGCGGCTCTTCTTTGGGAAGTCCGCCGTGGAAGAGAGACGACTTTGAGGAAGAGGAGGAGTGCTTCTTTGAGGAGGAGGAAGACGGCCGAGAGTGAGGGAAAGAGTGGCTGCTCTTGCTCCCACTACTGCCCTCACGTTTGCGCTCCTTGGAGGAGTGGGAGGAGAAGGGGGGATAGGAGGGCTTCTTGTGGAGGTGTGGATGAGGGTCTGAGCCTGTGGCCAGGGGGGAGGTGATGGCCTGGAGCAGACCCATGGCTGTGTCTGCTGGGGAGGGGGAAAGTGTGGGAGAGCGGTCCACAGACTTGTGCTTCTTTTTGTGTGGCGGAGGGCCAGAGCCGTCGTAATCTGGGAAGATAATAGACCTCTGATATTATAGACGTCTCAGAAGCATCACTGCATATGTCCACTGGCGGAACATGTGTCCTTTTACTCTACATTTGAGAGGAAGCACAGATATCATTTCCACTCAAATGCATTTTTGAACTGGATCAAAAAATTTTGATGAACATGATTCAAATGTTTCAGCCAAACATTAAGCTGCTGATCATTGAGAGAATGCTTTTAAAAATATCATGTTATATTTAGGACAGAACCAGGACCCAAACTTTCTGAAGTTTGGGTCCTGGATCCAAAAACTCGTCTGGACCCCGGAGCAGAAAGATCAGCCACCAGAATGAAACAGTGAGAGCCGCGCTGGTGAGTGTTTGTTAGGCCGTGTGTTATCCCTTTGTTGGACTGCAGATGCTTGTGTGGTTCTGATTGTTGCTCAAGTAGCCAAAACAGAAATTCAGATGCCTTTTACACAAACATTCAAATGTGTCTCTGGAACCAAAACTCTGAAATAAATATATGATTGAAGTACATTTCACTAGACAACAAAATTTTGGCTTGAACAAAAACTATAGATGTTAGTTGCTGATAAATCAATAACTTTCAAGATGTGTGGTACAAGACGAAATAATCAAGCGTTAGGTATAAAATAAATGAGTAAATCTACCTCTGTAATAATAGTCGTCACTGTGCTTTTTCTTCTTCTTGTGCGAGTCCGTCCCCATCATGAACAGCTCTGCATCCTAAGAGTACAAAAGTATATATATATATGGCATTCTTCAGCAATTCTTTAAAGATCACACCTTTGGACGTTTCTTGGACGACTTGCGGACCTCAGCTGCCATCTCCTCCTCTTCCCTCAGCAGATCTTTGTAGGACCTTCTCTTCTCTCTTTGACTGCGACCGGCCACTAACCCCCGCTCGCCATCCATCCCCATGTCTGATACATCCACATATCAACTTCAGCAACTCTTATGGTTTAATTTGTTTCATCATGTGTATAATAAATCATTACCTTTGATTTCTTCAAAGGACATGGCTCCTCCGGGTGATGAAGTCATTGAAAGGTCCCCACAATTATCAGCTGATCTGAAAATGTATATGTATTTTATAATAAAGATAAACGTGGGAATTGTTGTATCAAAAATGTAATCACTAATGTGTTGCAAATATACTTGCATACATGTACCTAAACAGACTGTAAAGCTAGAGTAAAACTAATTAAAATAAGGAATAAAATCTCGTGCATTTTCACTCTAAATGATTGCTTTGTGTTATTATTGATTGACCACTTAATATCTATTCAAAACCCTAGACAGAAGAACAATCAATGCAATAAGTTACTGTTATTGAGAACTATGCTTACAAGTGTGTGCTTTCACTGTTCAGGGTTAGTTACTCTCTAAAGAACAATAACAAACTAAGAAAATACAGGTCTCGCTTATCATATTATTTGTAAAAAGTTCATTGCAAGCATCTCCCGCCTTCTCACGCACATCCAAACAAACACACCCCCAATCTCCGTCCATATAGACCTCCAGCGCTTCACTATATACGCACAGCCGAGCATTGCCTCTGATGGTGGGGCACAGAGGCGCAGCCGAGACCGAGGCTTTTGGGCTTTACTAGGCCGAAGCGAGCTCCACATAGCTAAAAACAATATTCCACGAGCATTCAATATGGCTGATATTTGCATCGGGTCAACGGGTGTGAAAGGCAATGTTTACAACACTTAAACACTGCAAAAATTGACTTATTGCGCTTTAATACCTTTAAAAAGTCCAATTTACGCAGAACCAGCCGCCATCTTTGTTTTCATGGACAATGCAAGCGTGTTGGTGGGAGGGGCTCTGGTGACACAGCCAATCACAGAGCTGGACGACAAAGTACTACACAAAATATCTAACTTTTTTTTACGTTTCATCATTAAATGGACAGCAGTTTTCTGCGCTGTACAATTAATTATAAAGGTATATTTATATTCAAGAATTGTTTATTATCAGATCATGTTGCAACTCCATGTTGCCGTTTTTGATTCCCCAAAAATCTAACGAAAGTATTTTTTTCCGAGTCAGGAAGTTTCAGTGTTGCAATGTTACTTGACAGTTGTACAAATAAGAGGCTACTGACTGGAGTGGACACAATCACAAAAAAGCACAAGACACAATCAAATATTCTTATTTATTGTCAAAAACGTTTTCAAGTGAAAAAAAAATCATCTACATACAGCACAATTCAAGAAGGCATGGTTACAAAACCATACATGCATAACTCAAAAACCAGTGGCAATACAATTGCAAGCCGCAAATAAATCGGCCCAAATTATAGAACTATAACAAATGTATTTCTAATTATCACACAGGTTGTGTGATAATTAGAAATAAATGTATTACTTTATTTACTTTTTGGTCTTGTTTATAGATTCTTGCTACATAGTGTAGCAAAATCCAAGTGAATTCATATCTATATTGTCAAGCCAAATAGTCACAATCACACGCATCTTGGTTTATTCCACATAAAAAGCCTCACGGTGAAATTATAATACTGCGTCTTGTTGACTTCACAGTCAGTGGTAATGATTATATACACGACAAACATTTAAAAAAACATTAACTGATTTACACTCAACACTTTTCCGCAAATACTTATTTAAAAACTATGATTCCAGTTCACTTATATTCTACCTATCTCCCAAATTCTGTTTTTGTAAACTCAGGGACGTAAAACTGGCCAACAAATCAGTCACTTCATCCACCTATAAAAATAAGAATATATATATTAGAGAAAGTACAAGCAGTGAATGCAGACATATAAAACACTGTCCTACCTGTTCTTTAGTGCGTGTGTGCTGCAGCTGTGTGGATATGTGCTCGAGTCGCTCTTTCGCTTCACTCTGACCCATCAGATTTAGATACTCTCTAAGCATCTGAATAATCTGAGCACAAAAACTTTTTTTAATTCACAAACATTTAATTTTTACATGTTTAATATATATAAGTAATGACATATTGTACCTGTGTGACTTCTCCCCTAAGGTTTTCAAGACTGCGAGAATCTCCGTCTTGTAAAATATTGAGTTTGGAGCGGGCTAAATGTAGAGGCGTCCTGCCAGCTCGGTCCAAGGCGTCAACACGAGCTCCTGATGAACAATCAGAATCAGACAAAACCCGAACAGCTTATTTATTCATTCATTCATTCATTGGGTTTTCTATATCAAAATAACTGTGAAAAGTGACAAAGGGTTAATATGTGTTGACTATGAAATAAAGTGAAATAAATAAATTCAAACTCGGCATTATAAACATAGAATAAAAACAGTATTAATCAATGTTTTTCAAGTTTTTCTTTAGAAGGGTCAACAATATTTCCATACTAATTCGTTGGATTTTAGCTATGGGGTTGAACAATGACACCTTTTTAACTTAAGAAACAATTTGTGAAATGATTTATCTAACCTCCTCTGAGCAGTGTGGTGATTACAGGCACATGGTTGGTACAGGCAGCTGAAAAACAAAAAACATGTATATAAAAAAAAAAAGAAGTTCACAGACTGACCAAAAATCACCTAAGCACATTGTTCAATACATTTACCCAAATGTAGAGGTGTGTTTCCGAGACTGTCTCGCTGGTTGGGGTCCGCACCGTAGCTCAGCAACAACTGGACTAAATACAGAAAAGACAGTTATTACAGTACATATATATAAAACCAGTAGAAAGGTTTCTTAAATATTTTTTGGACAGTATAATTAATTATTGAAGATGGGGCTGGGCTAATGTTAAACGGATACTAGTCTGGAATGTTTGCTACTGCTTAGTTTGTTATTGAAAGACAAGTCTGAGATGTAATTACCTTGTAACATGTTTCCTCTGCTAACTGTGAGCCATCGTTAGAATTCAGGAAGTACATAGGCTGATAAGTGACATGTGACCACGGCGGGAGCCTGTTCTGAATATTGCTCTCATGTTAACAAGGTAATTACATCTTCTCAACCAGTAATTGTATTTCAATAAGATTTTAATCTATGAAAATTAACATTCTCGACTCGGAAAGGAAGAGGTTCTACTTTGTAGAATTGGGCGTCTAATAGAAGGCACCAAATTAGTACGGTTTAAGAAAAGGTACAAAAAAAAACACTAATTCTTAAGTGGCTGCGGCAGGTTCACTCCAGACCTACCGATGCTTTCATTGCCGTTGCAGGAGGAGAAATGGAGTGCAGTTCTTCCCTTATCATCTGCTGCACATGGGTCAATGTCATCCTCCAGAAGCCTCCGGACTGATCAACAAAGACAGAAGCTTTAGAGACATTCAGAGTTTCTGAATACACACTTCATACCTCATACCTGTGTCAATGTCGTTACTGTTGGCTGCTTCTCTTAATCTTTTCACAGCTATGAAATAAGTCAATTTAGTTTATAATGCAAATTTTCATACAAAAAAATTAACAAGATTCAAAGTTAAAAACATCAAAAAAAGCACTCAAAAGACTCCATCTAAAGAACCACAAACCTGTACACACACATATATAAATTCACACACGCTCAGACACACAACATGCATTTAGAGCAATTTTTATGAAAGCAGCAAAGGAAGCAACATCCGAGGAGCAGTCTGCACCTGGAGCAGAGAGCCGCCTGCAGCCACAGGGAACGACACAGGACCCAGGGGATGAAGCGAGACTCCAACCCTCCACCCTCTGCACTCCCACAAGTCTACTTAGTTAAGCGCTTCAGTTGGTTAAATATCACATCATATACAGTTATAGTTACTTATAGACCCGAGCATTATAGAACCATGACCTGAGCATATTTAGCAAACAGAATAGCCCTAGGAGCTTTGTTGAATAATAACTGTCATATTACACTCTTGAATGGATATTTACCATAGATATCTTTACCGATGGGGGCCAGAGTACGTACTGCCCGGTTGTGCCTCCTGGACTTGCCCCCCAGGACCTTCCCCAGCTTCCTCTGCCCCCCCGCGGAGCCCGCCTCAGCCCGCCCTGGCTGCCACAACAAGTGCAAGTACCGCAGCTCCTTATCGTCCATATGTTCCACTCGGCCGAGCAGCAGCTTCCCCTCCTCCGGGCCTGCACTGGCCGACTGTGGCTCGCCCTGATCCGGCCTTTGCGCTTGGTCTGCGGGAGGCTCGGTCATGTAGTCCCCCTCCGAGCTGCTGGATCTGTCGGAGACCGTGTCCGCGGCTATGGGGCTCCAGCCGTCCATTGCCGCATATGCACACGGTCTTGACGTGATTCCCAGATGCCCAGCCCAGATGAACTATTCAAGTGTCTTTTACTTGATAATTTAAGCTTTTCCTGTGGCACATTTTCCAAATAGAACTAGTAAGAGACACGCCTATTGTACAGTCAATACTACTCAGTCTTCCGCCAATCAGATGATGCGTCTTTGCAACGCTCCTGACTATGCAGGGACGACGCATGCGCAGTATATTGAAACACGTTTATTTAGGTAATAGATCCATGGTTTGTTTACACCTTCACCAACGATATATATATATATATATATAACGATATATATGAATATTATTGACATTTGTATCAAAACCATATACAGATTTGGCATAAAAAACAAATGGTTGTAAATTAAAAAAAATAGGTCGGCAGTTTTCACAAAAAGATGTCTGTGATGTGCATCATTTGACAGGAGACAGGACAGAATAAATGATGGGAATTATAGAGGGGCAAAGAAAACATTCAGCAAACAGAGGTTGTAGACCCCCACATTCTTGCCTCTAGGGTGGAAGTGATAGAAAGTAGATTTATATATTTCCAATATATACATTTTACAGAAGTGCAGTTAGATGATAATAAGTGCAATAAATACATTATTCCAGTTAACTATCAATCGTTATGATGCTGGAGGTAGGAATGATATTTCAGACACTGCCAGTTCCAAAGTAAACAACATTTTAGAGTTCATGTTTAAGTCCTGACGACATGGGGATTCCAGCTTGTGAAAGCAAATGAGAGAACTCAAAGTCCTGTGGTGAGCTCTCTTCAACTACTGCAGGAGACATCACCGCCGTGTTCAAGGCTCTTTGCCCCATATGTCCATTTTGGGACAGTCCTTGGCCTCTGAGATATCCTTGCTGACATGACAATGGTGGCTGGCGATGGGTCAAAGACATGCGAAAACAAGCTTCTGCAACACAAGACATCCAAACAAAGTATATGTAAACGAGTAATATGACATTATTATTATTATTCATATTATTTGGGATCAAAACCAGATTTGGAAAATTCATAATTTTGAGTGCCACATTAAACAAGTTAGAGGAACAAGACATGGCCAGTTTCATACTATTCTCTTCTTAAATAACTTAAAATATACTTAAGCAAATCATCATACCAGCATAGAAATGTCGAAGATCCATCTGGATACAGTGTTGGAGAAAATGTTGCAGTGGTTGGACGTGAGATACAGGAGCATCCCATTCTGTGAGGAAGTCCTCTATCATGTGATGAATCGCCTTTGGCCTTGGTAAGGGCCGGCCGTGTGGCCGGAGCTTCATTTCTTCCCCTATTGAAGATAATAAAATTAATTGGATATTCGGTTCTTCTGTTCTATTTTTACAGAAACAAATAACTGATACACTCACCAGTGGGTATTCTGTCATAATAATATAAAACAGGATGAAGAAAGTTGGATTTCCAAGCTCTGGTCCAGTCTGTTTCAGCTCTGTTATGACCCAAATAGTCGATTTTCTTTTTACCATATTGCATTACAAGGATTATTAATCCATTGGTTACTTTGTGGCCTGACAAAGACGATAACTGAGGCAAGGCTTGAAGTGGAAACTCCTCCAGGTATTTACAGTGAGTTCTATAAATGCAAATTAAAACACATGACAGTATTACAGATTATTCAAATGAACATTAAGTGGCAACCTAGAGTAATTGTATTGATTGAGTTATTTGTCTCTGAACATATCTCTATGCCACAGAAGACCCAAACTGTAACAGTAAAATGATGAAACTGAAAGTATTGCACAAACTCACCCTTGCAACAGAACAATGTCACCGAGCACCTGGAACATTTGGTAGGGTCCAGAGGCCTCATTCACCCTCTTTAAGATCCAGGGCAGCAGCTGTGTGCTGGACAGTTTAGTGGAGGGCCACGGTCGTCCATGGTACCGATGTTCAAGAATACGGTGTACAGCTCTGACTGGGGACAAGATGAGTGTATACAGTACACAATCATGCACATTTGTGGTAATACACTCCAGCAAAAAAATACACTGCACATTACTTCTTATCAGTGAGTTAGTCAACAGACGTTAATAGGGTGTTTGGATTTTTTGTGACCAAAATTATATTTTCTTTTTCACATTTTCAAACCCGAACCTGCTTTGTCAAACTGAAAGTCTGTGGTGAAGGACAATATCCCACAGCATGGCTTTGCTGAAAGTGTCTAAAAGAGTAGACATGAATGACCTGGTCCACCTCCTCATCTGACCTGAGCCCAATTTAGACGATTAAAGAAAGGATTTAGAGAGAGATGCAATACACATGCCTGAGCAGTGTCTTGGGATGCTGTTGTAAGGAGTTGATTAATCCTCAAATAAAACTGAAAGTTTAACAAACTATTGAAAAGAAGGGTGGTTATGTTGGTAAGATATATTTAATGTGTATGCAAAATACATTGTTTCTTCCCTTGAATGATACAAAAAATATCAACAACATTTTTGAGTGGCATATTAAATTATCACACGAATCTTTGTTCAGTAAAGCCTTGCACTCATAGATAGAAGTACACCAGTCCAAATTAACAAATCTATATCAACATGTGTTCTGTACAACTATAATTTTGGAGTCCTACAGAAAAAAACTCACCAGTGTATCTAAAGCCATGGACAAAGCCTCCGGCAGAGGAGCGGTAGTCTCTTGAGTGGGCAGCGGTCCCCAGCACAAACAAACCAGGAGTGTTTTTCCCTTCGTACCAGGCCGTCACTGCAGGTAGCCTCCCTCTAGCATTTTCACTGCTGGGTGGACACACAGTCCTAAAAAGGAACATTTGAACTTTTTCTTAGTAAAACAAAAAATGATTGCCGTGTCATATTAGCACTCAAGTTCTTGTTTTATTACTGTATTTGTTTTATTTTGCTATGCACCACTATAATAACAAGAATACCAACAATATTACCTGTCAAATATACTGAAGTTGAATCTAAAACCTAAACAGCGAATCACACGATCGTAGGGCTTCCTCATAGAGAAGTTGTCGATGTGAAAGCCGGACAGCTCCTCTGCTCTCGAGTTGGAGCCATTTCCATTCTGCAGAAGCTTTTTTAACGTCAGGTACAGCTTTGCCTTCTTGTTTCTTGCACGTTTGGGCCTGAGGCTGTCCTCCGCTGTTCGTTTGGTGATAGCAATCTCTTCAAGGTGGGTCTCCACTAACCCATCAAGGGACTTCAACTGATATGTGTCCAGGACCTCATTGTTTACAGCTCTAGAAGAAAACACACATGCCGTAGATGCCATGATTTCAAAGTTCAGACAAAAGTAAAACTCAACAATGCATTTATGTAAAATAAAAAACAATATGAACACTTTCGAAGCCTATTAGCATAAATATATTTTCATCTCTACCTTAGGTCTCCTACATAGTGTGTTTGCCAGGCCAGTCTGACAGGGCTGCGGCTGACCATGTGTACTCGACTGGCCTTTCCCAACAGACTCTGTGCAGTCTCGAATGCAGAGTTTCCCTTTCCAAGGATCAGAATGGCCTGGTTTTTGTAGTCGTCTGGGTTAGTAGAGATGGACTCGTACCCCTCCACCAGATCTGAACCCACAAACTCAATATTTTGAGGTACCCACAAACCAGTGGCTAACAGGAGGACCCTATAACAAAACACAAAGAATGATTTTTTACAAAGTACTTTACCACCGGTTGTCATTTTAGAAATACCTGCAGAAATATGAAGAACCGTGTTGGTCGGTGAGGACATACTGCTTCCCACGGTCTGATGGAAGGGCTTTGATGCGTCCTATGTCTACACCGTATCGGACCCGCAGCCCCAGCTCACGTTCGTACAGAGACAGGTACAGAGGGAAAGCGTCGGCTGAGGGGTAAAACTCACTGCTCACTCGTCTGAACAGCAGGTCGCTTTTATCGCTGAGCAGGGAGTTCCAGTCATGACGCAGGTTAAACTCACGGTTATTACTGCCTGTGTGGATCTTGTTAATGCTTATCAGCTTTCTGTGTCTTGGATATCTAAATTCAAATAACAAGTTATTATATCTTTGTTATAATGTACTGGTTTATTTTTGTAAACCAAATTTAAATAAACATGGTTTACTTGTTGAAAAAGCTCCCTGGGCCAGAGTTCCTCTCCAGTATGATGTAGTCTCTGTGGGTTCTGGACAGGAAGTGTCCCATCTGCAGTCCGGACGGACCTGCCCCCAGTACACAGTACTCATGCTGGGAGGTGCTGTTAAGGGTCTGGACCGAGCCTGTGACCCAGCCCATCAGCACACACAGAACACACGCCAGGCTGGGATCCATCCCCTGGAATTAAGAGTACAGTATGATCATTGGATAGCACTTGACAGCGAGAAGGTCCTGGGTTCAATTCCACCTCCAGGACCTTTTTGTGTAGAGTTTGCATGTTCTCCCCATGTCTGTGTAGGTTTCCTCTATGTACTTCAGTTACATTTCCCTACCACTAAAAACATGAAGGTTTAATGAGTTTGTGAGTGTGACTGTGGGACTACAGATGCAAAATAGCAACATAGCTACAATCTGGTGTACTTACAGTTCCAGCAAGTAACAATATATACAATCAATAATATATAGATTATTGTTATTGTAAGTTATTGTATTAGTTAATAGCTCATTGCATAACAGTGTAATGTCCAATTAGCCAAACACAAGTGGTCAAAAACATTCAAACATTATTAAATAGACCACTGACAGCAGTCCCATGGATTTCCTGGAGCTATCCAGTTTTCTACAAATCCAAAACATCTATGACAAATCCTAATGTAAAATAGAGGCTCTGTTATTATTATAGATCCGTGGAGCTGCCTCAGTATGTACGGAAGATGCTAGCCCTATTGCTGTCGATGCGGAGCAGAGCTAGCTGATGCTCTAAAACAGATGTGGTCACAGGTGTTGAAACAGCCACAAAGTGCTTACCTTTGGTCTGAGGAGAGTCCTTTTACTCTCCAGGAAGACTGCTACATGTTAGCTGACGGTGTCCGGGAAGTCTTATACAAGTTCATCACACTTTACAGACAAATCTCGGATCTTTTCTATGGCTAAAGGAAGTCCCGCCCCTTCAGCGTCACGTGCCTCAAGAAACTATGTGATGGAGATGACGTCATGTATCATTTAATAAAATATCCCTGGTAATCTACGTACAGAGTGGGCAAGAAACGCAGGGAGACTATCATTTTTTTTAAAGTATACACCTCTAGGAATTGGTTCATTTATTGCAGAATAAATAAGTGTGTGAGTAAAATACACTATCTTTATAATTGCATTGTCTTCTGATGCATTGGGCATGTACCTTAAACCACAACTGCCCAGTGTGGAGTCTGGTCATGGACACCCATCCAAGGGTCACTGGGAAAACAGTGCCACAGAAAGACAGTTAAAGTGCTACATCGTAGACATCTGATTCAGAGTGAGTGTCTGGAGGCTCCACTTGTGTGGCAGCCCGTCTTCAAGCAGTCTGACCCAGGACAGCTGTGGCTACATTAGTAGTTTCCACCACTGTGTACGGAGTAAATCAGTTTTAGAGCATGAAATAAGAAGTAATTAACCTTGTGAATGTTAATCTACTTTCAGCTGACTAATGCTGAAATACTGTGGAAATTATCCACATCATGCTTGAGCTTCCTCCTCCAGTTTGCCTGGTCATGTTTACCCCATAGACTGTACCCGTAGCCTTAAGTGTCTCTGGTGTCAGCAGTTCCACTTCCCAGTCGGTCAGCAGGCTTTTGACAATATAAACCAAGCGCCGCTCACAGCATCCTTATTCCCACACTGAGACGACTCCAGGCAAAGGTGACAAAGACTCTTTACTGATGCATGGTCAGGCTGCATTATTCGTGTGGGGAGATATATTTACATGTCAAAAATGTTTTTGCAGATGGAACCCTTGAAAAGTGCCAGCAGACTAGACTTACAGGACACTGGAAGGTACTAGTTTTTTCTGCAGATTTGTTTTACTTTGTTATAATTTTGAACTTATTATTACAATATAATTATCCACTTAACCATATTAAGCAATCACACAAATCTAACAATGTGTTACAGTGACTTGTCGGAGCAGATTAAAGCAGCCACACTGGAGGTGCATGAGAGAGCGGAGAACACACAACTCATGATCTGCTTCCAGAAGGGCCAGATCACTCGGACACAGTACAAGGTAAACCCCACCATTTAAACATTATGCATTAGTCATAATAATGTATTCAATATAATTTACTTTGATTAGTTTATTAAAATAGCATTAGGAAACTCATCTGTTTTTAGTTAATCGTTTGAAGTTTAGGCACTGACCAAGATGGATTAAATGCGACACATGGAAGTAAGGTGCTAAATAATAAGCCATATGATGTAACAATAAAGCTGGGGTACCTTACAGTTTTGCTTCATAAATATTACATTTAGTTTTCTTAACAGAAAGTGCAGTTTGAATCTACTTAAAAACACATTATCATGCAAGAAAGAACCCTGTGAGTCACCATTGGACGCCTTGAGCTGAGAGCTGATTGGCTAAGTGAGGGTGGTCCTCTCTTTCTGTCTGAAAAAGCAGATCTATAGATGTGAGGCCAAAAATACATGCATGAGAAAACTAGAGACAGAACCAAACCGTTTAAGCGCCAGAAACTCATTAGATGGACGTCATTACGTTCATTGTTGAGGATTTAAAGTTAGGTATCACTACTATACTTTAGCTTGTTGGGATCATTATTAGTGCGTACAGTTAAAAGACATGCTGCTTGTTGTTCCATAGGTTCTGTTGTGTTCTCTGTATGAGATCTACACTTCGCTGGAGGAGGCTATGGACAGAAACTCCTCTCACCCCGCTGTGGCCCCCATCTACTTCCCTCAGGAGCTGGACCGCACAGAGGCTCTGGAAAGGGACCTGGAGGTCTTCTTAGGACCACAGTGGAGGAGCAGACTCATCGTGCCGGCCGCCACACACCGATACGCACAGAGGCTGCGACAGGCAAGACACACATGACATGTGATCAAGCGAGTGGAGCAAGTGACCTCTGCCCTGGGGGAAGTGAGAATTAGTGTGAAGAACGGTCAACATTCAAAATGACCACAGCAATGTTCCTCAGTGTGTGAGAAGAATATGTATCATTTCAGATACTGTATGTTTACATTTTACAGTAAATCCTATTTAGGTTTGAGCACAAACAATTGAAATCATACATTAACAATTAACATACATGAAATCTTGTGTCCTTGGGCAAGACACGTAACCCCACTTTGCCTGAAGCTCCCACTGAAAGATCTCAGCTCCTGTGGACTCACCACCTGCAGGAGCATCAGTGAGGGGATGGTGCTATGTGTACTGGGTGCAGCTCTGACTGCCACCCCCCCGACCCAGAAATGGATTAAGGGGAAGAAAATGGATGGATGGATACATGAAATCATATTTCACTCCAAATATTGTTACATTTTTAAAGGAGTGGTTACATCTTAGAATATTTTAGATTTCAAATGACGCTCTTGTACGTTGCACAAAATCATGAAGAGCGCTTGTTCACAACCCCTTCTCACAACTTAGAGATTTTCTCTCCCAGTGTAGGTTAATAGCAAACTGAATTCAGAGATTTGTTTAACTTTTGGCATGGGTTTGGAAAGAGTCAGTCTTTATAATAATGCATTGGTTTTATGTTGCACTTTTTTGGACACTCAAAGATTCTTCACGTCATTATTCTTTCACTCCATACACACGGTGGTGAACTACTGCTGTAGCCACAGCTGCCCTGGGGCACACTGACACTGCCATTAAAGATGTATCCAAAATCTTTAGAATAATGTATTATAGCTCACCTGACCTAGCAACGAATTGCATGAAGTTTAAGAACCTAATTTAAGTAGAACAATCACATTCATTAAAAGTAGAAGAATCTACACTTCAATATTTCTAATCCAATGCAGTGAATTCACCTTTAATGTTTAGGGTTAGATAAGAAACTTTATTGATCACAGTGAAGAAATGTACATTTGGTATCGTCACTCAGATTGTGCAAAATGCCCCCCCCCCCACTTGTACAATAATTGAAATGACCCAGTTTATGTAATATAGTGTAATGTTCCTTGTTGCAGATCGGAAAGGAAAGGCCTGAGCTGTTAGTGGCCCACGCCTACACTCGGTACCTTGGAGACCTGTCGGGGGGTCAGGTTCTGGGGAAGCTGGCTCAGAAGGCCATGCGGCTGGACAGCGCAGACGGACTGTCGTTCTTCTCCTTCCCCGGAGTCAGCAGCGCCAACCGCTTCAAACAGCTGTACCGCAGCCGCATGAACAGCATCGAGCTGTCGGCGCAGCAGAGGACAGATGTGCTGCGGGAGGCTGTGGACGCCTTTCACTTCAACATCCAGGTGAGACGACAGCAGCTGCTGCATACACACCAATCTGGTCAGAACCTTTTTATAAGAATGGTGTGTAGGTCGTTTTTAAGAGGTACAGCTGTCAATTAAGCCATTTAATGAAGCTAGCATTAAAGTATAGTAAAAGTTCTTATCTAAAGAAATGCATTTGTTTCCAGGTGTTTGATGACTTGCAGAAAATGCTCACCATGACATCTGCATCAGAAGAGAAACCCAAAGAGCGAGCTGAGAGAGTGACCTCCCTGATGTCCCCAGTGCAGCTCACCCTGGGCCTTTGTGTGGGACTGCTCACTGTCGGCATCGGACTGTACAACTATTAGACTAGAGCTGGGATATCCGAACAAAATGCACTTTAGCCAAGAAATCATTTCACAGAGATACAGTATTTTGTAATGTTCGTATTATATAAAATTCAGTGTCATTTTCTATCATCTGTGTGTCAAGAGATAAAAGCCATTGTAATATGCATTGAATAAACTTGGTACAACTACATTTCTACTCTGTAAATGTTATCAACAAGGCACAAGCGTATTGGATTATTAGGGTCACTTTCTTCCCCTTTATAAAGACACCTAAAATGCTCAATATTGACTTAGTATTCTATCAACCTAAAATTTCATTGTGCTTCAAACAATTTCCAAAAACAGTCTTAGTTTATTACAAATATGCATTTAATAACCTTTTTTCATACATCACAATTTGACTTTAAAGAATGCTCTGTTGGATCGTAACAAGCGCAGTGTTGATCAGAACTATGTACATGAGCAGGAGTTCTACTTGACTCTGTAGAGCACCTTCCTCTGCATACGGTGCTGCATCTCTCCTCTCCTCAGCATCAGGTGCAACACTTTATAGATGGCGTGCTCTGGATATTTCTGATAAATAAGAGCATAACATTTAGTGAGTCATCAGGTGTCACATGCTTCAAACATTAAAAAACTAATATCAACTAGACTGAAGAATTCAAAACATTCTTGCAAAATAGGCTGCCATCAAATGATGCCTCATGATTCTTTCACAAGCAGCAAGACAAACTACATAAAAATTGGTTTCGAATGTGAAACAAGAACTTCCATTGTGCAGTCCTCTAGTCCTCCTTAAAACTAGACAAATACCCTAATTTAGGGTCTAAATAACACAGGGCTGATCAAGTTAGGAAATATTCAGCTCAAAAAAAAAATAACTTAGCGGGTTAAAAAGATGTCAAATGTCTCCACAACCCACCTGTTTGGTAAAGTCCTGTACAATGCTGTGCTCAGAAACCTGCGAGCCAATAGCAAAACGTCTCTTGAGCTGCTTCTCTATACGAGACAACATCTCCTGGTCTTCCTGACTAGTGAAGCCCTCCACACCTGTAGACCATCATACAGTACGTTACACATCATGTTTACAGTAGAATCTAGCGTGAACAGGAGGCAGCCTCACCAGAGAGGCTCCCTGACAGAGCAGCATCCAGAGTGGAGACTTGGAACAGTCTTAAGGCCTCGTCCACCTCCTCTTCTCCGGCCACCGCCTGCAGCTTCATCTTGGCGAGGGACTCTGCGATCCGGACAACAGCCTCCAGCTGCCTGTGGAACATTTACAACAGTCATGATTAATCTGCCATAATGACTGTTCAGTCATACAACAACCAGTTCAGAGTGAACAATGGTTTATTCAATTCACTTGTTTACCGAACAGTGATTGGGATTGAGGGTTTTTTGTCACTCTCTCGTTCATGTTCTCTTGCTCCACTCCTCATCACAATATAACGATTCTTCAACTTCTCTGCCGCAGCAGCAGAAAGCCGAGGGCCACATTTTCTGCAAACACACATGAAGGAGCATTAGACAATTGGCTCAACTTCTTTAAAAAAAAAGTTTCTGGACAATGCTACTTACACTCTGGCATAAGCGATGTACTTCTTAAACGTGGCCAGTGGGACCTCTCCCTCCACTCCCTCTGTCTGTGTCAGAGCACTCAGGTGGACGTTCATCACATGACGAGCCAGGGTCTAGAAACAAACCATTAAAACACTACACCCTTTTTATGAAACCACCTATTATTCTGCTGGAGCTGACCATGTCTCTTTGTTGGTCATGATGATCTTTGATGATGAAGATCATGTCAAATCGAGACAAGATGGTGGGCATAAAGTCAATGTTGTCCTCTCCTTTGGTGTCATCCCATCGTCCAAAGACCGAGTTAGCAGCAGCAAGCACAGAGCAGCGAGAGTTCAAAGTGGTAGTGATGCCGGCCTGAAAACATTTGGAACATTAGTATCAATGGATAATAATGTTTAATACAAATTAAAAAGTACAGTAAAATGAAAGAATACCTTGGCAATTGAGATGGTCTGTTGCTCCATGGCTTCATGGATAGCTACCCTATCATCTTCTCTCATCTAAAAAAAGATGTCAAAATGTAAATTACTTTAAGTAGGATCCTTAAATGCACTGAGCCACAGAACAGTGCCCTCTTGTACCTTGTCAAACTCATCGATGCAGACCACTCCTCCATCCGCCAGCACCATGGCCCCTCCCTCCATGATGAAGCCTCTAGTGTTTGGATCCCTGAGGACAGAGGCAGTCAGACCGGCTGCACTGCTGCCTTTACCAGAGGTGTACACCTGTGGAAACAGGGGTCATATGAAACACAAGTCAGTACCCCCTCAACAGGTTTAAATTCAAACACATTCCGTTCCATTCAAGGACAATTTATTCAAGATCGACTGAAGCCTTACCCCAATGGGAGAACATCTTTCCACAAACTTTAGCAGCTGGGATTTGGCTGTTCCGGGATCTCCCAACATCAGCAGGTTAATATCTCCTCTGCGAGTCAGTCCGTCTGGAAGTCTGCAAGAGAGGGAGCGATTCAAACCAATGTTTCACTATTTCACACAGATGTGCAGAGTCTTCGGTGAAATGTATCTAACCTTTTCCTGGAGCCTCCAAACAGCAGGCACGTAATGGCCTTCTTCAGATCCTCACTACCATAGATTGAGGGAGCCAAAGAGCGAGCCAGAGCACTGTATACGTCAGGGGTACCGGCCAGTGCCCTGAGCTCCTCCTCCTCCTGCGGCGACACTGAGCCAGTCGCACCACGGCCTGCCAAAAACCAACACAAACCATGTACATCCTTCTTCACACCAGAGGCAGATACCAAAGTTAGTCTGGGCTTACCTGTGCCCTCAGTGTCCACCTGGATGCCGACCACCCTCAAGTAAGAAGCCCGGATGCCCACCCCCGCCGCCTTCTCTTTGCCTTTGCCCTTAGCAGCAGCCATTCTCTTGATAGAGTAGATTCCTAGAATGGTCACTCTGTTTCCTGGTACCACTTTATCACACAGGTACCTGACAAGAGGGAGATAAAATGAGTCCGGTGTTATGATGTTTCAGTGGATCAGAGGATGAGGACACCAGCGTGGATCTGACCTGTCACAGTAGAGCTGCAGATGTCTGGGCATCTCTCCGTGGGGAACAGCGTCTGGAGACTCTTGTAGTCGTAGAGTCTGGAAGTCAACGCAGACGCATCGGTCTGGAATGATGAAGTATGGGTCCATAGGGCACTTTACTCTGCCCACGTTTTCCCTAAAAAAAATAATTAAAAAAAATAGGTTGGACATGACATCTGGTATATGATGCAAACAAGGTATACAAAAAAATTTGTTCACAAATGAAACAATAGTCTGAGCTAGCAAAACCCTCTGCGCTACTGCTATTTGTGTCGTTGTAGCTGTGGAAGCATGTAGAAAAATTATAACAGGAACAATATACGGGACATACTTTAATACGAGATTTGTGTTTAAGTTTTGTATTGATGCAGATTTACGGATGCAGAATGAATGAATTGTCGTGAAAGGATGATAGAGAACGGATGGATGCACTTTCATGGTGTATATTGCATGTATTTCTCCAACCAGTGACTACAGATGGAAAGTAGCCATCTAGCTAGTCTGTCTCTATGAGCTAATTGTCTGTACACTGTTCCTTCAATAAAAGATTTAATTAAAGTAGATTGCATTTCATTTGCCAGGTTTGTTGTCCTGGACCTTACAATGTTTTTTATGTTAGTGTGTTCTTTTTGTGTATTCAAATTCATAAATAACTGTCGACTCACGTGTTGCACTTGCGGGGTAGAGCGTATCCCTGCAGACCCGGGGGCAGGGGGATATTACTGAGCACACCACGGCAGCCTCGACACTGCAGACACACTTTAGTGGCCTTGGCCTTCACTGGTGTGGCAGATATGATAATGCCGTGGACTTTCACCAGACGGGACACCTGCTCAGACTGTACAAAAAAAAAACACAGTTAGGGCTGATTGAGGAAAACAAACCAGACAAAACCAGTCTTTTTGTGAATACCTTGAGGTTCCGAATGGATGCGTGGTGGGCGTCACTCTTGAGCATGACCTGGATGTCCTCTACAGTCTCCTCTCCCACAGGACGAGGGCGGGTAACTTCATCTGCCACCTCTTTTGCGGCCTCCTCAAGCTGGACATTTGTTCATAATAAAAATACTGCATACAAATACATTTAGCATTATACAAGAGGCCGGTGTTCGCACTGACCAGAGGCAGGTTCTCAGTGGGCAGTTTGTAGAGACAGTCTGACAGATCTTCGTCAAAACTGGCCAAGTCCTCCATCTCCACCTCTACCCAAAACTCCCCCAGAGTGTAGTGGCGCTTCAGCTCATCTCTGTAACAGAAAGACATGATAGTTAAATAATTTCCATTGTAAGAGACATGAAGTCACAAACTATGACTTTGATGCCAAAACAAAGTTCCTTTGCAACAAAAGGAAGGTTGTAACCTTCCTTTGTTTTGAATAATCCTTGTACGACTGAGAGTTAACACACTTTGTTTTGGTAGATGTGGTGAACAAACATATATTTAAAAAAAATGATATTAAGGCAGGCTTAACAATCTAAATACAGATCTAATAGCCAACCACACAAATGAGACTATAGACTGAACTAGAAAATCTATTGCACTACTAATGAAATTAAGTCGTGCTATTTTAATGTAGATGCTGCCAAACGGGCCCATAGAAAGTGATGACAGGTTACTTTCTGCTTAGTTTGTGTCAGGATTCCATGATAACGAATGAAAATATTGTTTACACCAGAATAGGAGGAAATGGTCCCGTTTAGAAAGTAGAACAGAAGTGAGGCCCTCGCCACTAACCCATCAACCAGTACTAACATGGACAATGCATGTAGAATAGTTCACCTGTTATATGCTCATTAACCATAAGCTGTGCCGAGTCTTACCTGTATTTGTATGTGAATCCAGTTCGGTCCGTCCCAACCCTGAACTGTCTGAGAAACTCTCGAAAGCGCTTTTTGATGTGGATCCTTTTTTGTCCGCCTTCATCCACACCCGGTCCATCTCCTCCGCCGAAGTTGTCACTGTAGTACACTCCAGGATCGTCAAAACCAGACATTTTTAACAAAAGCTGTAAATATCACCCAAGAGATTACTGGTGATGTGTTTTTCCTTAGATTTGATCCACAAAGAGAAGAGACGTGAGCTGCAGAGTGGCTGACGCTGTTTCGCGGCAAACACTCTTCTGTTTCCGGTTTGTTTCGCGCGAGCAGCCGCATACCCCGCCCCTCTGTTCTAATTTCATTGGTTAAACACAATTAGCACGCTTTCCATTGGTCCGAATTTCACAAAGAGGAGGATCGGATTTGAGAGGGCTGGACTTGTGCAGAGAAATGGCGCGAAAGAAACAAGGAGGTGGAGCCGAAGATAACGTGGTCTGCATACCCCAAACAAAAGTTTGGTTTCGTTGGAATCACCGACAAAGTGGATACATTTATTTGTAGATGCAATAAGTGAAGCGTGGCAAAGTCCAATCATCCAAAACTATATCTTTATTAAATTGCAGAACACTGACAAGTAAGTTGGCCATTGTTTTGACATGATTCAAATTATGTCCTTCAAAGTCAAGCATGTAAACCATGTAGCACATCAACACATGTCATACTGCATTCAGTTCAAATAAATCAATTAGAAAAATTACAAGAGTAATTACTCTCAGGTGCATTTTGTGGCAAAAATAGATTGAAAAGTCATTAAGACATGAGTAACCAGGGGCATCGATAAATATGTAATTCTCACTCAGTAACAGCAGATTCTATTGACTCGCAAACATCCAAGTTGTTGGCGCAAGTCCAAGTTCCATATCTCTCTGTGGAGCTCTGTAGTTGTAACATCCTTGAAGTTGATTGTAACAATGTTGGTTGTAACAATTCTCATATAACCAGAAGTCAACAGTCAAGGTTTTACAAAAAATGCACAATGTTCACTGCAACTTCATTTCCATTCAGGAAAGGACTCCATGTTTTCTGCCAGTTTGAATAAAGGCATCAACGCAGTGGTCAATGTCGTCATCAGTGTGAGCCGCCGATATCTGGACACGGATTCTGGCTTTTCCCTTTGGAACAACCGGGTATGAGAATCCAATCACATACACACCTACAGAAGGAAAGAAAAGAGTCATAACTCTCTATTATGATTTCAATTGAATGAATGTATACCAACCTAATTTGAGCATGTCATCGGCCATGACAGAGGCCAGCCGTGCATCTCCGAGCATCACAGGACAGATGGGGTGAGCTGTGCCCGAGATGGTGAAGCCTGCCGCCGTCATCTTGTTTCTGAATCTGGAAATACACAAATACAAAAAATGGTGCGTCAGAAAACATCGATCTATTTAACTCTTTACATTTTGTCTGGTGTTATAAACATATTGCTTACGCAGCAAAACACAGTGTACCTCATTGTTTTGGCAGTCATACTCTGCGAGATCTCGTTGGAGGCCAGCAGCAGCTCAACAGCCTTCACGGCACAGCCCACCACAGGAGGAGGCAGGGAGTTAGAGAACAGGTACGGACGGGATCGCTGTCTCAGGAGATCAATCAGAGGCTTCGGACCAACTGTATAACCACCTTCACACAAAACATTCTTTTCAAATACTACACTATTTCAGCATTTAACTGTCTGCACAACAGTCACATCCTTCATCATATGTGACAAGATAAGCGCCAAAAACCTTAATATGAGAAGTTTGACAACATATAAACTTGTCAGGGTACACTGCATTAAATTAACGGGTGAAGAAAATAAATACCTAGTATAGGGCCTTCCGGAAACTTACCTGCAGCTCCTCCAAGTGCTTTTCCCAGTGTGGAGTTTACAATCTGAACTCTGTCCATCACTCCCAGGAGCTCATCTGTTCCTCTGGATGCAAAATCGTATTATACAGACTGTACCCTTAACGTGTACGTTCACCTCTTACCTGCCTCTTGGACCTAAAAACCCTGTTGCGTGACATTCATCAATAAACACCATGGCTCCATACTGCTCGGCCAGGTCGCATATTCCCTGTAATGGAGCCACGTCTCCATCCATGGAGAAGACTCCATCAGTGACAACAAGACGCATACGGGATGACTGAGGAGTAAAAAAACATGACAAACTTGTACATAATTTACATCAGCCAATAACAGAACATTGCTGTTCTATAGACACACTGAAAAACATACTTATTGAATGAATCCTAATGAATCAATAAGAAAATGACTGACTAAAATTTTTTTTTACCTTTTAGTAAGGTATGTCTGTAAACATATGTAGCTTCCAGGTTCAATTTTAGATAATACTTAATACATGGAGTAAAAGTAGAATAATGTAAGCTCACACCTGAGCCTCCTTGAGTTTGATCTCCAGATCGCTGAGGTCCATGTGTTTGTAGCGCATTCTCTTGGCTTTACACAGGCGGATGCCGTCAATGATGGAAGCGTGGTTTAGTTCATCAGAAAGGACTGCATCATCTGGGCCCAGCAGCACCTGGAAATGTTACACTAACTCTTTTCATTCAGCCTTCTTTCAGGCAGCTTTTATCAAATGTAATTCTTAAATAACAACAGATGTCTGATACCATTATCATAAACCAATACAAGATGATTAGATTATTTTCATTTTTTACAAAGCTCGTAATCCTGTGTTATAATGTATTAATATTCTATTATGTTGAGCTATGTTACTATGCCAACTATGTAAACCAAATAACTGTGGTAATATTCTATTTTAATTGTGACTGTTTTGCTGATAAATAACGATTAGGTAATATGCAAGTTGAGTATTTTTGGCACTTTGCATGATGCACACTGTGAACCGCTGCTCTGGAAAAGGGTCGTAGTTTTTTTTGTTTTTACTCACACCCCTTCATGAACCCAAACCAGGAGCCTATTCTCACCATACTTGAAATTCATATGAATTATCAAATCTCTTAATATCCAACTTTTTGTTTGGGATTTTAGTATTACAGCACTAGCAGTACCTCAAACAGCCCAGCATTGGCATCAAAACAGCTAGCGTATAAGATGCAGTCCTCTCTTTCGTGAAACTGGGCCAGTTTCTTCTCCAGATCCTTGTGTATGTCCTGAAAATCACAACACAATAACATGACTCTTTACAGACACTGAAATATACACCGGTGTAACAAAATAGAGTAGCGCTCACCTGTGTGCCACAGATGAACCGGACAGAGCTTAGCCCTGCTCCATAGGCACTGAGGGCCTCCACCCCGGCCTGCACCACCTCAGGGTGACTGGACAATCCCAGGTAGTTGTTGGCGCAGAAATTTAATATGCCTGGTAACAGTGAGGACAATGTTATGTAGAGCTGGATGAAAGAGAAATACTGACAATAATGAGGAATGAGGAGATGTCAGTGTGCATCCTAACAAAAAATGATGCTTATCAACTGTATGATATACTGTTGTTTCAGATGTACATTTAGAATGAGTCAAAGGAAATGAGATATTGAAAGAGGATTGACAGATTCATCCGTTATGGTGTTTATTTTATACTGAAGCACAAAATAGGGTTATCTTATCTAGACATACAACCGTCAACTGGCATCATACAATACCATTACAAATGCATGGAAACAGCATTTTGTTCTCGCTCTAAAGAAAGTGCTGATTGACTGACAGCCACCTACACAGGGCAAAAAGATCCTTTTATATTCAATCATTTCTGTAACATGTAATTATGCTTCTGCGTTCAGAAAACTATTACATGCATCCTTCATTCTGAGCCATTACAAAACTAAGGTCACTCCTGAACCCGAGTTCACAGACATAAGTTCTGGCAGCATGGTGCGTTCAGGGACGTCGCTCTGTCCTCGTGAGCCCGAGCATCACGTAAACATGTCCGCCTCTCTCACGTACCGTCTTGGCTGCCGCCCACGTGGATGTGTGGCCCCTGTTTGGAGGTGATCACCCGCTCCCCCTTCCACGTCCCGGCTGTACGGATGGACTCCAGCTCGCCCTCCAGAACCGCTCGGGCTTCTGCGACCGCGGAGTAGTCCCGACCAGTAGCCGACGCCCGGAACACCCCTTGCGCAGGCTTGAACAAACGCACAGCTTTTCGAAAAGACATGACTAGCGTAAAAAGGTGTTTAACGCATATAATGTGAATGGTTTAAAGTGCTAAGCGAAGTGTAAAGCTGAGCTGAAGTGCTACGGTAAAGGGTGGCTCCGAACTGGCCAATCAGAGCTCGGGAAGGCACCAGCTGGTCTGTCCAATCAGCGTTTGTGAACGTAGTTGACACGTGTTGCTTTTTATAAATTGTGTAATAATAAAATCCAACACCAACTTATTTCACGTTTTATTGGTATGATAATAAAACATGTCCTGTGGATGGATTCACTGAGAAAGAAACGTAGTAAAACAAGTAACATTTGAACATTGACAGGAGTGCGACTTACATTTGTACTTGGTTGTTGGTCAATAACAGATTCATAAGTTTCCAGTTAATAACTTCTATAGCGTTTCCTTTTAACAGGAAATGAATCATAATTCTGTAAAACCATAATGCATGATCAAAATACATTTGTTCAAGCACTTTGTTTTTGATAACAGTGATGCTACTTTGACGAGGTCCTCAATCTTCTTCAGTTCATATTTAAACAATATATATATATAACAACATAATACATATATTAAAACTTGTAACAATTTCCTATGTTTCTTAGCAGGAATGTACAATAAAAAAATGTGCAAAGTTTGCGTTACACATATAGCTTCCATAACCAAAGTCACATTATATGAGATACAAAACAATTTCCGTTTCGTAATTCCCCTCCCCTCAGTCTTTCATGGATGGCTCTGCCCGCGTCGAATGTGCCTTGGAATTACAGTCCAAAAAAAAAAGTCTTCTCTTTCCAGCAGATAGTGCAGGGGCTTCATTATATGACTAATGCTTAGTGTGAAGAAGGACTCAGGACTCTGACGAGCTCTGGTCCTGCGAGGACGATCGGAGGGATGGCAGGCGATCTGCCACTTTGGCTCTTTCTGCTAAAAACTTGTCAAACTCTGAAAAAAACACAGACACATTTATGACAGCTGCAATAATTCTAAAACAACACAGTATCCTTGTCTTTGCCTTTGACCACTAATTCCACTATAAAGTTTTTGTTATCTTACCTTCGCTGGTAACACCATCTGAGTCTTCATAGTCCTCATACTGTTTATGAAAATGGAAAAAATACACTTGTCAGGGACAACAGAAAGTGGCTTGAAATAATGAATATCATTTACAAAGTAGTCCTACAGAATCTAGAACATGCAGAATGTATGTACCTAAACAAAACACAAGAGCTGTTGAACCAAGGGGCTGGGGCCACAAATTAGATTCACATTAAAGTAAATAAAAAGTGCTTTAACAGAAGAGAAAGTTTTGTTTTATTCTAAAGTAAAACCTCCACTGCCCAATCCCATACATTCTCCAATGCTAAGCATGGCTGGGCCTGGTAAGTACATGGACAGGACAACTAGAAGATTAAAAGCTGCAGCTGTTGCTATAAAACGTTACCACTGACTATGAAGTCTACATCAATTTATTTATTTATTAAAGATGGCTCCTTGAGATGAATCATCTCTTTTTGAGGGGGTCCTATAAACATAATAAAAGAAAAGATTACGCTGCTTTGTAAACTACTCACAGACAGCCGGACCCCATATACTATATTGGTGCAGTAATACTCACATCATCCTCCAGTGAAAGCCATTTCTCTATATCGTCCATGACATTAGCTTGGCTTAGAGGAATCTAAAAGAAAAGTAATGACTCATGTTAGTATAGAAAGATACAATAAAACATGCAGCCTGTATATATCAAAATACAAAAACAAAATATTTGGATCAAACTAAATGTCATGCTGTCTAATGGGTAACACATCAAAGACATGCAGTCGCACTTGTGAGTCGTGCATCACTGTAAGATGAGCAAACTAAGTAAATCATAAGGATGTGGAAGACAACACCAGGCCACACAGTTGAGACCCACCATTCCCCTCTTAATCATCCAATCTAACTTTGGAGAGGAGCTGTTGGTGGAGGCGGGGCTCTCGTCCTTGGTGCAAGACAAAAAAGTGGGTTGGAAAAAGTAGCAACTTGTTAACAGTTGATCGGATGATTGTGTTTTTTGTCATAAGCCGGAAAAACAGATCTGACCCCATGGGGTTACAATGAGCTTTGTAACCCCACGAAAGAAGCCTCAAATCCAGCAAAGATTAACTGAACTCCAGTGAGTTTGTTATGTTTGCATATCGCACTGATATTTCATTTCAGATTAGACAAATTATGTGTTTTGTGTTATATATAGAGACATCATTATTACCATGATCCTATATTAAAGTAACGTTTGCTGCCCTTCAATGGGATCTGTGCCAAAATAGATTTGGTAATGACATAATGGATTTCTTGCTTCCTGTTAGTACAGCAAATGGACATCGAGACAAGAATCACTGCTGTATGTCTTTTTCCATGTCACAGAACATAAGGATTGAGTTTACTCACGGACCGCACTGACTTTGGATAAACATAGGGGTGACCATAAAGGTTACTTACAGCTCCACTTGGATGTAGTCGATTGGCCAAGGTCAAGGCATCAACTGCAACTTCATTCTGCTCACTAAAAAAATCCCACAAATAAAACATTATCTTGGTACAGAATCAGATAATGCACTAAAATGTAAGTAACTTAAGGATCAAATGATTACCTTGTCCTGTGCAAAAGTGTGTCTAGGTCTTCTGCTTCACTCGTACCTATCAAAAATACTTGATAAAACGGGTGCCATAATTAAACATGCATGAAGTGAAAAGACTTGTACTTACTGAGCCTAGCTATCTGGCCGCACAGGCTGCCAGACTGTGATTGGCTGAGGGAGCCGTCGCTCTCTGCAGACGCTGCTCCTGATTGGATCCCAGACTCCGGCGTGAGATTGAGGTCTGCGAGGTTGACGTATGTATGCTCCTGGAACAACACAGGACATGAAACATATTTCAAGACAAGAAACAAGTGGTTCTATAACAGTTGCACCCAGGTTACTAATGTTTACTATATTTGTCAAACATATATCTTAGATTTGGACAAAAAAAAATTGCGAACCTGAGGATATTATCATATTGAGGACCCCGCATCATGAATATACAGTGGTCTTTCGTTTACTGTGGAGGTTACTTTCTGAAAATAACTACAACTTGTCACTTTTGTTGTACATAATTATTGTCACTTTATTGTACATATATCCTGCATGTAACATGTTTGCACATTTCCTCCCTTTGCACAATCTGAGTGTCTCTATCCATGCCAAATGTGACATGTAAATTTCTCCTCTGTGAGATAAATAAAGCAATCTTATCTTAATCTTATCTTATCTTAACGCAGTAGCGATATGTTTTAAGGCTGAATAAACTCATGACTGCTGAAGTACGATCGTGGGGATGTAAAACCTGTTCATTGTAGGTCTGAGCGCTGCTGCAGCTGTCAAAAGCTGTGCATACAGCTGCAGAGGACAGGAGCAGGACTGAGGGCTACAGGGAGACTGCAGTAGTCCTCTGAACCGATGTGGTGCACACAAGCCACAAATGTTTTCTTTTGACTTTTAATAAAGGTAATATGTTATACTAGCCACGTCATAGGGAAGGACCACTGTACAGTAATCTTAACGGAACGTGTCATTTCCCGCTCTACAGTTGACAATGCTTCACAAACAAATTTAAATGGGAACAAAACAGCAAATAAGCAGAAACAATTTTTACCTTTTGTGTTTCATGTTGGCCATTTGTTATTCTTTTTTCAAACCTAAAAATCCCAAATGCCTCATTAGTGTCAGTGATCCATGTTTGTTTGAATCAACGTCTGCTATAGTCTGTGTTGGACCTGTGGTAGCGGCTAAAGGCAGTGTTCATCTCGTCATTGGTTGCCAGTAGCTCTTCGATCAGCTTTTCTTCACTCAATCGGGGAACCACCTTCGCGATCCTCACCTTCATCTCCTTGCAAACACTGTACAGCTGCTAATGACACAAGAACAGAGCATGTGTGGGCAGGGGGTGTTGGCGGGCCGATGTGACACGGTAGTATGAAGCAGGAGATCAGTTAAGGGAAGAAAAGAGGACAGAACAGCAGAAACGTGTAAGAGTGGTAGTACCTCCAGCAGCTCTGTGTCAGCCTGCTTCACTGTGACCGGGTCCAACTGGCTCATCATCTCAGACATGGTGGTTAGATTACCCTTCACCACCGTCAAATCCATCTTCAGCTGCTGCACCTATTAACACAATAGATCAGCGGGAAAGGTGCACAGTATTTAGTTACTTGTATAGAGTTTGGTATAGACAATATTAGAGCAAAAGAAAAGCAGGAGGTAGTATAATAGTAAGTCTGTGACCCCATGTTATTGGACATGTGTTGAAATGGCGTTGTCAAGTATCGGCTTTTCACCACAAGGAAAAAAGAAATGACTCAAAACATATTTCCGACTTTAGTCTTCTAGTTTGATTTGATAGCAATATATTTTTGGTTGACTGTTCTTTTGATTCACTGGCTGCATTACAACTAAAATCATGTGTATTACATACTGATTTCCAGCTCAAAATACATATTTGCTTACTTTGTCTTTATTATGAGGAAGTATATGCATTAATTGTTTGTCAACTTTCTAAAGTATAGAGCAGCACATGCAAAAGACCAAACTTTGACGGTAAGAGCGACTCACTTGTTATATGGTTTGTTGTTGTATAAATGCAGTAAAGTGTCGTCCTGTGCGTGAGTAGTTTTTATTTCACCTGACCCTTATGTTAGCAATGGGCTTTATAACAGTTTTCTAATCTACCAATTTATGTGGTCGAAAGCCAAGTTGTTTTGACACATCCAATCCTTGTCTCTCAGTTGTTAAAGAAAGTGCGCAAAGTGGTTTTTTGGTCAAACGTTTTTTTTAGGGATGAGGCTATAGTTAGTAGTTCTACCATTGATGGCTAAAATAATCAAAACAAGAGATGGATCTCACCTTCTGTCACACATGTTGGTTGTAAAGGTGTGGCAATCATATGAGTAAGTTCTATTCTGATAAACTATATTTTAGAGCAGAGTAGATGAGTGGAATGAAGGTATCTAATGCTAGTCATAAAAAAGTAAGGCTGGAAGTGGCAATTGTATGAACAGCAGCAGTTTTACAGATTTGAAAGAAGAAATGTGAACCCTCCACAAGAATGGAAACTCTGGAGTTAGCCTAATTAGCAACACCCTGTCCTTAAGCTGAGAGAGAAAAGCAGAGGTGAGTAGTGAAAGCCCGTCACCTGGCTGGGTGTGAAGGTGTTATTCTCCTCTTTGGCGTGTTTGAGCTGAATGCTCTGTGGCTGCAGTGGGAGTTTGGTGGATATAAGACCAGTGTGCAGAGTAGTGACAGTAGGCCCATTCCCAGGAGAAGTCTGGCACAGATTCCCATGAGAAGAAAAGATTTAGGAAACTGGAATATCAGCGGGAAAGAGTAAGAGAGAGGCGTGTGTTCACCTCTCTGTGGTTTTGGTTTGAGCTGTATCCTTCCAGCTCCACTGGGGGAAACTCCAGTCCTTTTCTGCGCAGGTCTTCATACACCGCAACCACACCTGTCAAGTCTGGCGAACTGCGAAAGGCATCAGCCCACGCCTAAACTCACAAAACCACATCTCATTCAAATATACCCTTTATTCAAGGGTATTATTTATCATTATAAAAGATTCAAGGTGTGTGTTTATACCTGCACAATTCCCAGAACTCTGTCATGTAGCACCGCTGGGGGGTTATTTCTGGGGATTATTGACCGCACCAGAACACCCTCTATAAAATCCCGTGTAGTGACCAGGACATGGAACTTGTAGCCACAGTTCTTTACACATGTTTCTAAAACCTAAAAAAAAAAGTCAAAAAGTAAGGCATTTTTTCACAGCTCAAGCGAAGACATATTAGTTTAGGTGGTCATTAGTAGTTAGTAGAAAAGTGTGGAGACGTGCTCATCTTAAAATCTAGGTCTGGACTCTAAGGCTTGAGCTTATTTCTCTGAAGTAACATTAAGTTTCTGCTGGAGCATCTGAGGGCCTACTGGTCTGTTTCAGACCAACAAACAACAAACAAACTAATAAATTACAAACATAGCTCTTAATATCACATTATACTGTTATAGAAATATTTTAGTAAAGCAATCTGAATTAACACCAAATAGTTATGAGTGTAAGTTATTAACTAATGTGCAGAATTTCCACAACAATACATTTTCGGATCAATAAAACCAATGAACTCTAAACATAAACTGCTTGAGACAAATGAATGGAACTCACAGTTAGTGTCATCATAACCTCTTTAAAGTTTTTGTTGCTCACAATTCTCTTCTTTATGGCCCGGACAGCATCTCTGGGCCTGGAAGAAGATGTTATGTAAGTTGTGGGGTCAACATGATATACATTTGTTTTAAAAGAGAGGCTCACACACCCTTCCTCTGAAGCGTTCACTAGGTCACAGACCTCCATGTTTAGAGCCCAGTCTTCTGAGGGCAGGCTGGAGCTGGTGGCTTTCTCTGTGGACAAGGCACATGTGCAGTGTTATTGTAGCCCTAAGAAGGAATGTATGGTTAAGGCAGGGTCATATGATATTACACTGTAACTGTACCGTGTGAAAGAAAAACAAACCAGAATCACTCCTCGTCACAAACATTATATTGACAAGCTGATAAATGTGAGCTGTACAACATTGTTTTTGAAAAAACGCCAACATTTAAATGTGCCTAAAAAGGCCTCAAGAACAACCAAAAATGCAAGTTGACAAAAACATGGATGAAAACATTTCAGATTATAGACAGAGGCTAATTAGCACCTGTTTATTATGACTTACTTATTATAGCCTTAATGACTGAAAACGATTTCATATAAGCATTTCATACTAGCATTTAAGAGGGCAAACTGCCATTCGATCATTAAGTAGACAGAATGCTAGTGGAATCAGACTTTGAGTCCGAACAGATAGCACAAATACTGGACTTTGTATTACTGAGTCTTTTTTAAGTCATATGTAACAGCATTATATATATTTTCTCAATGCCAACATTTAGAGAAGTAACTGTTCAGAGTTATTTATATTACTTTCTACAAAGTCAGAAGTTTAGCTTAGTTTTAGACAGTGGGAAACACCATAAACATTATACTCTTTACACAGAAGCAAACTAGAATCCGGGGGCAGTAAGAAGCTATGACAGTGAAATGATTAATACACACCCATTCCAAAACCTTTCACCTTCATTAATCATCTTTATTAACACCCTTAGCCTAAATTGAACAAAGACATTTACTGGAAGGTGTGCAGCCATTTCATAGGTTGAACATGCACACAGGCACACCATGTTTATTTATTGTGTCAAAGAAGAGCGCATGGGCCCTTGGGGTATTTTCTAACCAAAATAGTGTCCTCTGACGAAAGCTTTAAACCTCTCTGTGGGATAAAGCCTGCCGATCACAGTCAGGGGTCTTGCATGTGTACGACAATGGTTCTGATCTTACAATTCAGGTTAGGTTCAGGAGAAATGTATGGAAAGCAGTGTAGTTATGAGTAGAAACATCAACATTAAGTCATGTTTTGGCTGTTTTCTGAGGAGGGAAGAATGGAAATAAATATAGTAGGCTTGTGAAATTGTATAACTACTGTGAATGTGTCGAAATAAAAGTAATGTCTTCAGTGTAAATGAAAGAAATATATGTAGTTGGTGCGTGTGTGATTCTAATGTTGCGTCATTCTAAGCCTCGGTGTCCATTAGCTCGTAAGCTAAGCTAACATAATGGCGTTATACTCAGCATGGGAGATGATGCCAATAATAATGTAATTTGGGTCAGTGGATGCAGACCACTTTGTACGCCCACTATTCGCCGGTAAAGTGGTCTATGATAAGCAACCAATCAGCACGGGAGACATAGTCTTTTGAACCCGCCCCTCTGCGTGTACTGCAATGTCATTGAGTATCTGCCATGTCAATCAAACTACAGCAGATGCTCATCTCTTGAGGGTTTATTCAGCTCGTTTTTCGATATTTTGAAATGGAACAGATTTATATACATTCACCAATACGTTCAACACTTGTACTGGTGTAGAATACGCCCACTCAAAAGCATGGAGATGTAAAAAGCAATGATAAATGCAGAAGGAAGCTAATTCAGCATCTCTCGCCTATTACCATGTAACGCTAAGCTAAGCACGACTGGCTGATTCTCACCGATGAGCTGGCCGACCGGAGAGCTGAAAGGATTGCCCAGAAAAAACTCCATGATCCCGGCAGTAAGGACCCAGTATTGCACCCACGTCACCCGGCCACGAAGCCGAGAATGGAGCCTGTTCTCCCGCTGCAGCTTGTGGCTCTGCGCGGCTCCGCTCCCGTGGATCCTCAGCAGAGACTGGGCACTAGTTGAGCTGCGTCACTTTAAAGGGAGACGACCCTCCTCCTTCATGTGCTGGAACCGTAGAACGATAAGATCCACCCCGGTACTAATGCAGCAACTATCTGTCACATTTTGGTCTGACAATGATCACCAAATCTATTGTGTTTACTGTTCAGTGCTTACACATTGGTTGCATAATAATGGGCGCATGCAGTGTAGCAAGCACAACATGACAGTTCACATACTTTAGTGCTGACAGTTTCAGCCAGCTCTAAGGTCATCTTTGTGGTAAACAGTGGTTTGTGTATGCTGTTGGTAATTACACAATTTGCTTGGCTTAGGACAGGATCTGGGATGACACCACACAGCAGCAGCAGGAGGAGCTGTGTGAAAAGAAGAACACAAAGGCATGTGACCCATGTGAACACCCAGCAAAACTGAGGTTCCAACCACACACGTAATGGCTCTATGTGTTTTAGATCATTGCATTTCTTGTCTTTTTACTGCATGATTCTCTGATCTGTGTTGGCGAATATTAAGGTATTGTTAAGTCCTTGGAGATAACTACTGTTGAGATTGAGGGCTAAACAAACCTTTATTCAATTGAATGTATAAATCCATGGGGTATTATGATGTGAGGGTTGTAATTATTATATTTTGGGCAGAGGTGGCAAAATTACTAGTAGAAGATCATTACCTTATATACTTGATGACTTGACGAGCATTTGTCCAGGTAAAAACATTGGCTCAGTTGGTAGAGTATTGACCTTAGAGCCTGGAGATCATGGGTTCGAGCCCACCGCTGAAAGATTATGGCTGTAATGTCACTGACAGAGAAGCCATCCTCATTTGGACTCACCACCTGCAGGAAGAACAGGCTGGTGCTTTGACTGCCACCCCCCTGATCCAGAGATGGACTAAGTGGTGGAAAATGGATGGATGTATAGGTAAAAAAATAAGTAAGATGCATTTTGGTTGACTTACCATATATGTATTTGAGGTTTTTAAGCCTTTGGTGTAACTTAAAACAACATTATGTGAACTGGTCTACGACTTCAGTCGCAAAAGTTCTCATTTGCCTGTCGTAATCGACAACTCCCAGGTGCAGATCGTAGAGGAGTGCAAGTTTCTGGGCTTAACTCTGTCTAACGACCTGAAATGGGTTAAAAACACTGACCGAGTTGTTAAGAAAGCTCGTCAGCGTCTCTACTTTCTGCGTAAACGTAGAGAATTTACCACTAACTCTAAGATTCTGCTTAACTTTTATCGCTGCGCCATTGAGAGTTTACTTGTTGGTTCTGTGTCTGTGTGGTTTGGAAACATCACAGATAAAGAAAAGAGAGCGTTAAACAAGGTGCTCCGGTCTGCAAAGAGGACCGTGGGCTGTGAGCTTCCTGTTCTGGAGGTTCTTTATAAATCCAGACTTTTAAACAAAGCACTTAGGATTGTTAATGACTCTTCTGGCCACCCTGGGAAAGCCATGTTCCAGCTTCTTCCCTCTGGCAGAAGATATCGCTCTCTGAGATGCAGGACATCTCGTTACGCTAACAGTTTTTATCCACAGGCTGTTATCAGTGTGAACAGAGCACTTTAATGATTTGCACTTGTTTTGAAACTGTTTTAGTCGATTGATTTCACAGTGACATTTGTTTACTGTTTTATTTGTTTTATTTCTGTCTTTTAATGTTGTTTCATGTCTGTATTTGTCTGTGCACACTGGTGACTTTTTGCTAATGTATTCAATGTGTTTTTTTTTTTACTGCAAATGGCAAATAAACTGAATCTGAATCTGAATTATATTGTTGTGGAAATGTTTTACCATAAGAATTTGGAAGTGCGGCTACCCACAATTCATTAATTCACTAAGAAGCATGGCTAACCACTTCCAATATGTTTTTTATATTTTATGCTGGAGCTACAGGCCTACTGTGAGAATGAACTGTAAAAACAACAACCCAGGGTTTCCATAATGCATTCAGTAGAGTCTGGGTTGCTATGCTACAAAAGAGACACGGACAACTGAAATGGGAAGAGAATTACTCATCATTATTTGTTTACAGTTTCATTATGACTTTGCAATGACCAATACATGTCATATGACACTATTCTATAAGGTGTATAGCTATAGCATCTGCATAAAAGGTCTCTATGATCCACAAAGATGTAAGGAAGTCATTTGTGAACAGCTTAAAGACAGCAGCAGCAGGCTCAAAAGGAGGCCCATATGAAGGGTCCAGAGCATTGTGTCTGGAGAAGGAGCACTTCTTAGTATGAGAAGCACAGATGAACCAACATTACATTCCCAGGCTTCCAAGCTTACCTAACCCATTTGTATTTCTTTCCCTTTTGAATGACCCTATGTTCTTTGTCATATATCTTAAATGCGATATGTGTGAGTATTTACCGCGTATACATGTCCCCCCCAGTGTGTGAAACTCCTCCACACACTAGGGGGGACATGTACTGGGACTCAATATAGCACAAAATGGAACATGGGAGATTGTTGTTAAAGAGAAAAGCATTTCCATTCACAAAAAGTATAACTTTTAACTTTTAACCATTGCTTTTGCTGGAGAATATAAGTTAAATTCCTTTGCCTTTTGTTGGTCACACACTCCCTGAACTGTTTTAGTTCCCAATTAGGGGGGGTTGACAGGGACCTGTTCACCGTGTGGGCACTGGAGCCTCCTCAGCCCCTGCCTCCGCCTCAGAGCAGGTTGGACAGCTGTCGTAGGAAACATCAGCTGCTGGAGAATATGAGCACAAGCATTAAATAAACAATAGCTGCCGGCAACAGAGCTGTAAAAATAAAGCATTTAGGTTGTCATCATAGTGCTTTCATTACAAATTTAACAAATTACATACATAGTTTTACCAGCAGTACAAGACATTTTCTAAAATCTAGAACAAACAAACACCTAATTTATGGGGTGGAGGAATATTCATAATGAATTCTACATATTTCTAAAAACAACAATGGCTGAAGTCATTGTGAGTGACTGTGAGTGTAATTAAACAATTATAAAAGAATTAATACTGAAAATGTCTTAATATGTTTGAAATATACTTTAAATGCAGAAATAACCCTTGATATATACTGTTGAGTACAAGGGAAAAAGTAATGGATTACTCTCTTACACCAGAACACTGTTACACTAGACCCTCATCATTGATACGAATGCCCCAGTATTACACCAGTATTACACCAGTTTTACACCATCCCTGTTGGCATTGCATATGTTCTGTGATCAAGCTTGACACAAACACTTGGTGTATTGTTTTAAAATTCCACAGGATGACATGAAAGCATACGTTTTGATTTAATAGCATACGTTTTGATTTAATCTTTAATATCTAGGCATCAATTTGTATTTACACGTGAAAAGACCGCAGTTTGTGTCATGGTGCACTGTCCTGCTCTGTGAGATCACAGTAGACAGTATTTTGGTACAAATCGACTTCTTCCATTTTTATATAGTCAGCCTTGTGCAAAAAAACCCTCATAATTCCTTAAATATATTAAAAGGTCTGTACTATTTATATTATATGTGGTGCTATATGACTTTGAACAGTTCTGAGATAAGGACCAGATTCTATAATTACATTGTTGCTTTAGGCAGGGAGTTCTTTGCACAATAAAAAAATATTGTTTGTGATCTATTCTTACATTTGTGGCACAAAGTACATTTGATGTAAAACAAATTTTTGAAAGTCTGCAAATGAATCAGAACCACATCATGGTGGTCAGTCTCAAAAGTTGCTGTGTTTTTTTATTTTTATTTTGAGATACAAGATTTGGAGACATATTATTGGGGAAAGTATAACACTTATTTTACAATGACTTGTTGAATCGTGTATAAAAACTATGACTTTGGAATTCATTTAAATTAAATTGACAAAGAACTATGGGCTGATAGTTTAAGTTGTACTTAGTATTTTATGTGATTGATATTATGAAATATATTTAAATGCTTTCTCTACAGTCTGTTTGACCCTTTAATTAGAGTCTAGTTCACGGAGCCCACACCCTGTTTATTCTCTCAAGAGACCTCATCTGAAAAAAATGATTCATTGCCATGATGGATGAGAAGCGTCTGAACTGGACCACTTCCAAATAGTAGCAATGGTCACGAGCGCCATCTACTGGAAACAGTGGTAAATGTCATGTCGACATGTGGTGTATTTTTAACCCTTGCCCTAAATAATTTCGTTTCAAGCTGAATTTTGATGACGTCACATAACTTGACCAGCCCTGGATCATTAAGACACTTTTAGACCCTAATTTTCAAGTCAACATGCCTAATGTGTTATTAAAACAAAGTTAAAATAAACAATTGAACAGATTAAACTAACACCGTGTGATTAGGTATAACCACAACGCTAGTTTTACAGTGAAAAGTATTAGTTTCAGGCTTTCAGTCCCACTGTATGTGAAACGATCCCTTTCTGTTTGAATGATTTGGATTTAGACAGAAATCAATGTCTGTGACTGAAGTTAAATATATTCTTATAAGCAGGCTAAATAATTAACTTATTTAATCACGTATGAGCACACATTCCAGTTCCATTTATTGGTTGTAAATTATTTTGTTTTTGAAAGATGGGCTTTGGTTTTGAGGAGTGGATCAAATAAAGACTGGATTAGCGTAGGTGAAATTGCAAACATTTTAATGTACATTTAAATAACACATTTCACAGTTTTAAGGCAACAGTGGTCAACTGACAACTGCATAGTTTCAAGTCTTCACAAGTCTCATGTCAGGCACAGAAGTGGTTCTTTTTTGCAGCATTTTACATTCATATTGTACGTTTCTCATATACAATACTATCGTTAAAAAGTATTGCACAATTACATCTCCTTAAGCACACTTCTGTTTAGAATTCTCACACTTAGGGTGACGTCTTCCGTAAGCAAGGTAACATCCCGTTACCTTGTTTACATTCATAACTTCTGTTGAAGCGTGCAAACAAAGGCAGTCTAATTTGCCCATCTCTGAACCAGCCTGATCAGACTGAAATGAAACGGGACCAGGCTGTCTGAATGAAAACATTACGAGTTTGAGAGATGCATTAGGAAAGTTAGTTGCTACAATAAATAAAGCATTGTATGTATTCCCATCCAAAACAACATTTTCTCTCAGGATTCCGTGGAACCCTTCTTTTGAAAACCTTCCTTCTGTTAGTCCTCAATCTTTTAGTGATGCATCCGTCTTCCACTGTTGTTATTGCTCCAATCATCAACCATGGCTTTATCCAACCAATCTTTCTCCGGTTCTGAATCGGACTCACTATTCTCACTTGCATCAGCCGCCAACAGCCTCGAATAGTTAATCCTTCTCTGTCGGGGAGCTTTGACCTGCAGCAGAGCCAGGACACAACACCACACAATCAGCCCGAGTGCCGCTCCTCTGAACATCCATGCAATACCAAACCTTTGCGCTGCGAGTCCTGCAATCACACTGCCCAAAGCTCTGCCCACATCCAAACACAGCACATTATACACTCTAGCTACGCTCCTCTCGGTCCCTGGTGTGGCTATGTCATCACACTGGACCTGCACAGCCCACCACAGAGCCCCAAAGCTCACGGCGTTCAACATTTGGGCAGGAAGGACAGCCCAAGGTCCCCAGAGGAACGAAAAGTAGAAACATTGTACGGCTACAATTGCGGCAGCCAGAACCAGGACCCTTCCAGGAGTGAGCTTCTTTGATATTTTAACAACAAATAGAGGGAGTGATGCTTGAGAGATCAGCCCAAAAGCCAAAGATAAGCCCATGTGTAGCTCTGTGCTTCCGTTATCCTGCATTTCCCAAAACAAGAAGTTTTCTACAGACGAACTGACAGCACCAACAAGTATAATCGTGACGCCGCATAGAAGACCACGGATAGATCCACGCACCAATTGCAGTCCCTTCACCAAACCATTAGGCCTCGACCTCTTCCTGTTCAGGTAAAACGGCAGAAAGCTTGCAACAGGCACGGTCACAAGAGCAATGATAGAAAAACAAACAAAATGGACCACACCCCTTGGAGTCTCGGTTATAAGCAGACAGTTTAATCGACTAACAATGACCCCAGCTCCACCGACCCCAAACGCTGCTCCGATCAAACTCCACGTCTTGGAAGCACTGTAGCGATCGGAAGCATCGGCAAAATCCAGGTACTCGAAGAGGCCGTCGTCTGCGGTCCACTCCAACGGAGCAAGAGCAGTGGACATAAAGGAAACGGCGATGAGAGTAAGAAAAAACAGCTGTTGTTGGATGTCTGTTTGTTTTATACTGTTTGTGAGGTCAACATTGCTATTAGCTTTTCCACTTTCCATGCCTGAGCTATTTTGGGCCTCAACAAGTGGATCACTAGAATCAACATTGTATTTTGCACGACTGGTAAAACTGGCTTGTGTTTTCCCTCTGTCCAACGTGCTTTGCGTTGGACTTAGCTGTGAAATGCTATCATTGCAGCCTGTCTTGTGCACATCGGCAGGCGGGATGACTGGAAAAAGCAGGGCGATGGTCGAAGACAAAACTAGACATCCGACAATCAAAGTTCTCCTTTTGTCGTAGCGTTTGGATAGCAGGCCGACCAGGGGGCTCCATACAAGTGTTAGGAGATGCTTGGTGCCCATCACGAGGCCAGTTTCTGTAGGCTTGAGGCCCAGGTGGCGGAGGTAGAGCGTGAGGAAGGGAAGGAGGCATGCCTTGGCGGCTGAGAGGAGGAATCTGAAGGCACCGGCCAGAAACAGGGCGCGAGAGACGTCGATCTGCCTGTTCCTCCTCATCCTGGTTCAACTGGCAGCACTGGTGAAGCAAGAAGCACAACTCAAAACAAGACAAGAGCAATCAGGCCAAGTTCAACTTTCGCCATGGTTTAAAACTGTGCACTTGTATATAGTTGTGTAGGAGTAGTAGTAGCTAGTGTATACAGTATGTAGATATTTTTGTTTTTTTATGCATGCCATATTCTATTTTTATTTGTATAACTTGTTTGCACCGAGAGCCAAAGCAATTTCCTAGTTTGTAACTTGCTGTTATTCACAATGGCAATATTTTTGTTATATATTTAGGGGGAGAGCTGATGGTCGACTCTGAACTAAAAGATGTCACAGGGAGCAAAACATACATGAATGTGGAAACTAGAGATAGAACTGATGAGAGCAAAACACTAGATATAATGGTTTTATGGTATTGGGATTTAAGGAAGTTAGATACTCCATCTTTAATCCTATTCATTATAATTCTGACAACCAAGAATAGGGTTTCTATCTATCTCAAGACATGAACTCGATTTCTATAGAGCTAGACTAAGTGGGTCAGATCTGTGGAGACGTCTACGACCCACATCACAAAACAAATACTAAATACAATTCATGCATTTTTGTATATAAAAACGCTTTGCTAGAAGAAATTAGTACTAGGAAGTGTAATATCATACTGTCGAACATTTCAGGAAACGCAATAATAGGTGCAGCCCATTGGGCACGGAGCCATTTCATCTGAATGTTTGATAAAGTGGTTTACGATCTAATAGATCCATGTTTACGACGGTCAATGTTGAGAGTCCTCCCTGCGACTACAAACCAACAGCTGTTTACATCTGCCACGTCATGTTCTAACACACAATAACTTTGATAGAAAATACCTGTTCCTGGTTAGATCATATGAAGTCAGTTGTGGTCATCCTCCTCTCGGTTAAATCGCATGTTATTGTACCTTTCTTCTCCGCTGCGCCCTGGCTGCACCTGCCACATGTGCCGTGCGCCTGCGACATGGACACACTCCTGCATCACACCTGCTCTGAAGCGCTCTCTTGTGTCTAGGAGGCAGTAGACACAAATAATGCCCACTTCAAAAACATGAGTTTATTTATGTTGTTATTACAAAGCAAAAAAACAATTGATTGACAATCAAATTCAAAGGCAATTTCAATATAGTTTAGGCAAACATTAGAGAAACCCGATTTTCTACATGAGAAACTGGGACACTGCGAATATGTCCTATTGTTAAATGGACTTGAAATCAGGAGATTAGTGAAGATCTATTTATTGGTCATTGCGCCAGAATATAACTGTTTTCTATTAGTATGAGACTGTGGCTGCATCCAAAATCATCAAAAACAGTTCCTGCCTCATGTGGCAGTATGCCTTAAGCACCACTGGAGGGCACAGAGTGCCTATGGATTGTTTACCACTTGCCTTCTCACAAATGCCCAACCCCTGGCACACGGTGCAACCTGGAGGGGAAGAAAGACTCTTTGGTCCCACTTATAAATATATTTTGTCCGCTAATTGATTATCCAATTTTTGCCAGGGAATCACTCTTATTCTTCCTTTCTCTTCCCACTCATTCTTATTGAATTTTGTAACATTAAAAATGTCCTACAATGTGTTAAATATCACTTGACTAAATCCGGAGGGGGGATGGGGTAGCATATCCAAAAATAACTAAGCAAAAGGAAGGACAAGGAAATAGATAGTTTTATCTTGGTTAAATCACTGAAAAAAATGAAATTCAGAACACAATCCTTTTAAATCATCCGGAAATATTTTCTTTGGGGTCTGGAAGTGAAACACAACTTAGACTCGCCTAGGACAGGTCTAATCATACTGTAGGTCCTAACCATACTTTGAATATGAAATAGTCCAAGGGATTTTCCACACATCAGCTGGCCACACCACTAAAAGTGTTAATGGGCAGAGATAATGTTTTGTCGACATATTTGCTCAGAAGCAGGTCCTGGGTCATGCTCATGCTGAACCTGCTGCTGATGTCACAGCCTGGGTCGACAAAAGGAGACACTTCAATCCTAGGACAGAGGAACAGTCACAAAGCAGGACACAAACACTGCACGACACAACAGAAATAATGGGTACCTTTGGATGTCACGGTATGTCCTGGCTAAGTCCTTATCCAAACATACTTCCAGAGTCCTGTTTTCCATTGCTTTGATGCTTATGATTTTGGTGAAGATTTTCTCCTCTGACTGAGATTCACAAATGCACAAACAGTTCCAAACATGTTGTTGCTAAAATTTACTTTTGAAATGTTATCAAACAAGCACCACTACTCGACAAATGGACAAATGTACATTCTTACTGTGTTCTCTCCTGGGTTCACAGAATTAAATTTGACACCAAGGCAGCCCTCACCTGCTGAAGGCCAAGAGGATTAAAACCTGAAGCAATTCATACGCCCTTTGTAATTTGACAGACCGTGTGTTGCAGATGGCTCAGAGGTAATGACTGCACTACATGCCATTGGGCAGACTCCTTTCCACTGCTCCCGTTTACTCACATATGTCTTTAAAAATAAGAAAACAGAAATCATTGTTCATAAGAAAATAATACCATCAAAAATAACATGTTTTGTGTGTAAGTACCTGTAGGTAACTGACTGACATGACACCTCCATACACGCCCACTGACCTCTTTCTGGGTCTATGTTTGCAAGTTTCTGTTGTTTCTGTAAAGATAATTGGTAATACTTTATGAAAGCACATACCATAGGAACAAAGAGTAAGACAGAAAGTAAAAAAAGACTTACTAGCTTTGAGATGCTTAAAGTCAGACACATCTGCTTCTAGACTGGACACAAAAACCTCCTCTATGTCTGAGCTCACCTCATTACTGCAGCGAGTCATCTGAGGAAAAATATATTATAAACATCTAAATTATTGTAATATTGCATGGAGTATCACATATCCAAACTATGTAGATAAATTAAAAATCCCTCAAAAGAAAGTAAAACGAGACATAACGAGACAGTCTTCTGAAACTCACTGAGAGTAATACTGTATAATGCCATGTTCCAGCTTCTTCCCTCTGGCAGAAGATATCGTTCTCTGAGATGCAGGATCTCGACATGCTAACAGCTTCTTCCCACAAACTGTTATCAGTCTGAACAGAGCACTTTAATGTCCGTGCACCTGTATTGAAACTGTTTTAGTCGAATCGTTTTTCTCAGTGACAATTGTTTACTGTTTTATTTGTTTATTTCTATACTTTTAATGTTGTGTTATGTTTGTATTTGTCTGTGCACACTGGTGACTTTTGCAAATGTATTCCAATATGGGTTTTTTTTTACTGCAAATGGCAAATAAACTGAATCTGAATCTGATGTATAATGTTGTGTATAAACTGAATGATCGGCTCCTATAACCTCTTCTACACACTCACAAATGCACCAGCTTTAGTATCACATGTAAAGGTCCAAACATCTGGAGTGAACTGGACACTTCTATTACACAATCTAAGTCATTGAGATCATTTAAAAAACCTTTTGAAACACAATTTATTCCAACATCATATAACACCAGGAGTTCTAAGCCCTTAGAACCAAAAAACAGTCAAGCAATCTAAGATGAATTAATGTTGTGGTTTACTGTTACATGAATGATGTAGCGTGTATGTTGTGATGGATACAACATACAGATTATTACTAGAAAATGAACTGAAGAGCACAGACTGAAACTGTAAAGCATGTGTGAACGAGTAAAGTGTTTTTAGAATGGGTATAGGATTGCATATAGGTATACATTGTCACATTTGGGGTTTTTTATGTATAGTTTTTAGGGCTTTTTGTAGCTTCCTGGGAGTTCCGTTTTACAAAACATCTAGAAACTTTACGAACAGAGTGTGTATGACTATGAAGTTTTGTAAATGAAAATAATTGAATTGGAAAAATATAACAAATAAAATGAACATCCACAACATTTCAGATTACATAGTACTTGCTGAATAAAACCACTTTAAGTGTACAATAGATTTACAAACAATTACGGCTGGGAAGATTATTGAGTTAATCTTTTGCGTAACATTTTTTGCTTTCATTTTGTCTGAACAAATTGATGCATTGATTAATTTCATCAATACGTGTGCTTATGAACCATCCGTCTGCACGATTTGTGTTTGTGTCCGTGCTTCCTCATGAGGATCACCTAGGGCCCTAGGACAGTGGCCTAGGGCCCTAGTACCTAGTCCATGACTAACTCCTAGGGCCCAAGGACTAATATGAAAGCACACAACAGCTGTTTGAAAGATTGCACCTGTTTTAATCACATTTTAGAGCATAAATGATTATATGATTAAAAATACAGAATAAAGGGATTTTTTTGGGTCTATTTTTAATCACAATGAATTATTATCAGATTTGTGAATAGCTTAGTAGCTCTTTATGTGATTCCCATACAAATGATATAATTCAAATAAATGAATAAATATACATGAAGAAACTATACCGATTTATTTTGAGTTCATAAAAATGTGTTGTATTAAAATCTGTCATTTAATTGAAAACTTGAGCTCATTGATTCAAGTTGTGTATGAATTCAGGCCGTAAAAAGTGCTGAGTAGAGACTTAGCTCTTCTCCAATCACAGAACGAGGAGCGGCGCTGTTACGAACAGGCTGCGTCCTCTAGCGTCTACAGTGCAGGTGAACACAGCTGCATGTTAGCAGAAAGTGGCTTTAGCTCCTCTGGCTGTATAACTGAGGACACAGCAAAACAGCCCAAACAGCGCAACAGTGAGGAAGAGAAGAGGGAACTAATGAGAAGCCTGTGAGCGAGTTGGGGGGGCGGTGCTAAACATTCAAACTGAAAAAAACCTTGCAGAAACGGGTATAACTCCAAGATGTTCTTACCGAGACTTTGTAAAGTGGCAGGTTAACTTTCTGTAAACCACAGCGCAGATAGTAAGCCAGAGTGTCCAGAAAGAAGAGGTTCTGCTCTGAAGGTTTGTTATTATCCATGTGCTGCTGAGACAGAGGTACATCTTGATTATCATAACTTTCTGAAAGCACATTCACAACATCATCGATTACCATTCCTGCTATTTTGGGGATGGCTGTTTGCAGAATGTTTATATTGCTGTTGTACCAGGGATCTGCTTTTCCCAAAAATTCAGCGATAGATAGTCTGGATTCCTCCTGAACTGAGGCGTCCTGCAAAGCGTGCCGTTGTTAGGAAATTTCTCATGAAAGTCATTTGGTTTCTGGTGGAAACTCACAGGCTGCAGACTGACATCAGCCACTGGAACATAATAGAATTGCAAATTCATCTTCTTCGTCAGTCTTATGTGCTTGGACTCCTTTTCCCTGGTGGATAGAGCAGAATATAGATTTGGTTTAATCAAAGCAAAGTAAAAATATTGGCAGACAAATACTCCACACAAGGGTCTTATATACTTGAAGAAGTATGTAAACATCTGACTGACCGGATGCTGCGATATGCACAGGCCAGTTTGCCCAGGATGCGGTCATCTCCCATAACAACAATGAGGGCCGTGTGGCTACGCTGCTCTCTGGAAAAGGAGTTATTAGAGAAGCTCTCCATCTTGTCATGCATCAGACTGAGCTGGTTGCCAGATTTGGTCTCCTTGAAAGCTTTCCTCCTGGAAAAGGTGCTCATACTTCTCCGAGGAGACTCAGAGGGGGCACTGTGCTCCTTGAAGTCCTTCTTGATGCCATTGTCTGTGGACTGCACAAGTGCACGCCCGTTTTTCTCATCTAAGTCACAGCTTGAGCTCAGGGAGAACTTTGTCAGAATATCCCCTGAGGAGAAAACAATAACAGACAATAAAAACCTAAGGCCCTGGGACTAATTGTCTGTGAACATGTTGTAATAACAGTAGTGCACGCATGCCTCTCCTCTAGAGGGATCCTCAAGGCATTCCAAGGCCACTAGATCCTGGACCCACCCTGGGCCTCCTCCCAAGATATGCCAAGAACACTCTAGGTCATCCCAGAGAGCCTTCACCAGATGCGAGGCAGTTTCAGTTTGCTCTTCTTGACATGGAACAGTAGCTGCTGTACACAGGAATACTACACTCCACATCGTATGAAGGAGACAGGGGTCTAATTTAGAAACTTATTTTGACTGATTTGCTTTTGAATTTAGTTGTGTATTAGTGGGTCCCTTATAAACACTTTTTTGTACATTTTACCATAGATTTTACTTACACAGTTCTTCTTCCTGTTTCCAAAGGATGAAATTGATTTCAGGGTAAGGCATGTTTATAGAATGAAATGTGATGTCTTCATGGTCTATCACTGATGAAATAAAACACACAATTTGTTAAAAAAAGTATGTTATTAATACGTTATTCACACTATAGCTTTAACCTTCGTCAGAGGAAGATACAATTTTGGCATAAATTGTTTGCAGATTATCAATGTAGTTTCTCCAGCCCTTCAGCCCTTCCTGGACCCCCTTCTCCACAGCGAGAACAGTCTGATGAAAGAAGTCTTCCAGACTCTGGTCTCCTAAACACTGGAACAATGGGCACATGGACTCGTTCAAATCTCAAATGTCATGGCCACATACGGCTCTGTGGCGTTCTCACCTGCAGCCTGTACTGCAGTGTGGAGCTGTGACAGGAATCTCCGAGGCCGAACTGCAGTAACCTCAGCACAGTGTTTCTTTTCTGAAGCAAAGGGTCCCTGAGGGAGTTGCACACCTCCAGGTCAGCCCTCACCACGGCCTCCAGCGAGCCAGAGAACCACTGAGGGTCAACCAGAAGAAACACCCTACAGGAGAACGACAGTCATGTCAGTAATACTGCTGTGAAAGAACATATCATTAAGTTGGAGTTTAAAATGCACACAGAGGTCTCACTTCTCTTGGAGTTTCAAGTGGACATTACTGAGGCTCTGCTCTGCAGTCACTCTTCTGTGATACAAAGAGCCTGAAGACAAATGCAGTTACAACATCCTCGTTTTAGTGCCATTCTGTGTTTAGTGCAAATAATCTGGTAACTAGACATATGAAAATAAATGCATTCACTCATCATCACTAGTTAATGACTGATGGCATGTTTCTGAATGAATAATGATGAGTCCATGTTCACTGTGAACTCACGACCCATGATCGGCTCCTGTATGAAGGACCACACACTCATGATGAAGGAATGGGTGAATGCGAGTAAATGCATTGATCCATGTGTAGTTATCATGAAGCGTTGCCAATAATCTCACCCGGAGTGAACAACTCTGTCCTGATGTTTTTCAGTGTGCTCAAGGCCACGGCACAAACAGGAACTGGTAAAATGAGCAGCTTCATCAGACAGCAGTAAATGGTCTGGTAGAGTTTGGCCGAAATGATGACGGGAGACTGAGCACAAGGAAAGCAATGATCATGTAAACAGCAGAGGTCCAACCGCATTTACTCTCAGTCAAGTAGATTCACTTTGATAGTGATGGTTGTACCTGTAGAACCACATAGTAGAGCGTGTGGAGGATAGGAATGATGTTCATATTGGGCAGACACGCCTGCAGCTAACAGGAAAAGAAAAAACTCAAAAAACGACAACAGTAAATAATGCATTTGTTTGAAGATGTAAATACCTCATCAATGCACTTCTGCAGTTGCTTGACCAATTTCTTGACCAGTGCAAGGGTGCAAGACGGATGGGCCTGTACTTTTTTGTGAAGATTCCATCGAAGCATTCCTCCAAAATAAAGAATGGGAGCCAATAAACCAATTAAATGTTTGGATTATCATTTTGTTGAGCAATCCAACAAATTATTATCTTTTTCGTTAGTTGCTGGTGCAATGTTTTTCTCGGTATGATACGCAATATTCCATGTACAGTACGTTCATAATCTTTAATATTTTATTCTATTCTCACAATATTATCTTATTATCGTTCTTATTATCAGAATGTAACTGTAATGTTATTTTTTATTGTGGAATACTATGTAAGCTACTGTGACAACTTTCCCTTGTGGATCAGTAAAGTCTGTCTAAGTCTAAGAATATATAAATGAACACCAACCTTTATCTAATGCAGCAGGGCTGTTCTCTTTGAACAACGCTTTTACCATGTTCCTTATAACAACTTCTGCAGGTGAAGGTCGAACACTGCCGACTTCAAAGACAAAAGAAACAACAAAAACGATGTTGTCATTTAAAGATAATGACATTCAGCTTCACTCACCTCTGGGATCATCCATTGCTCCAAAATGAAACAGCAACAAGGATTGAGCTCCAAATAAAACCTTGAAATGACTGAAGCGTGTCTGGACTATTGGAATGTAAGCTGTTCAAATTCTTTTCAGGCAGGTTTTACAAACTTTGACAAGGAAGTAAGGAGTAGCACTAGCCTGCCTAGTGACAGTACAGCACACCCAGGGAATTAAAGGCAATGTTGTGATTCATACAAAAGACAGGAGCGGTCAGTCATGTTTTTTTTACCCATTTACTGTAAGTTTACTGCATAATGTCATGTATAATACTGTCATTACAATTGTTTTTGCCAGGCAGAAAATGATCCCAAAGGCACATTTTCAGATTATAATCAGTAGTCATTTAAATAGTCACCAAATAACAAAAGGTAGTTAAACAGCATGAACATGATTTTACTGTGACATGTGTAACCTGTAACTTACTAAACTTGTCACTTTGGGCTGAGCAGAACTGTTATGAGTAAAATCATATATTATATACAATGTTTATTGACATGGTCTTACTGACCTTAAAGCTGCAGGTTCAAAAATGTTTCCCACATACATTTGTGAACAAACCAGACCAGATTTTATGTTTTCATTTTATTAGATAAGAGAGCTGATTGGATGAATGAGGGTGGTCCACTTTGTGCGTTAATGTCTAAATAATAATAATAATAATAATAATGCATCGGTTTTATATAGCGCTTTTTTGGACACTCAAAGACGCTTCACATGTCATTATTCTTTCACTCCAAACACGGTGGTGATAAACTACTACTGTAGCCACAGCTGCCCTGGGGCACACTGAGAGAAGCGAGGCAACCAGTATGTGCCATCGGCCCCTCCGACCACCACCAACCATTCACACACACACCAGACTCATTCTAGGCAATGGGGGTGAAGTGTCTTGCCTAAGGACACAACGGCAGTTTAGCACTTTACAGCCGCAGCCGCCCCACTGTGGCACCAGGTGTTCCCAGAGGTTAAGTGTCTTGCCAAGGACACAGCAAGGACACAGCAACAGCAGACAGCGGGAGTCGATGGTGAAAGTCGGGCTCGAACCCACGACCCTCTGGTAAGGCCAGTGCCCTACCAACTGAGCTACTGTCGCCAAAATAATAACAAGCACATGGAAACTAGTGATGGAACCAAACATTATGCATGGATTTTATTACATATACTGTAGTATTGTCACAAAATCTCTCAATGGACTGATGCAGGGCAGGAGAGGGACAGAGGGAGGGGGAGATCAAAGCTGAGAAGGAGAGAAAGAGCAGAGGGGCAGGCAGAGCAGGGAGCAATATGAAGGATGCAGAGGCTGGACTTGTCCTGGACAGATCTTGTACGTCCTCCAGTCAGATGAGCTGCTGGGCTTGCTGCACAGAGACACCTCACATCTACAAAACAGCAAGTTTTAGCATGAGTTAAGGCTGTGGGGATTTGGTTGATTTAACGATTTATTGGTTGATAGCATCCTGGTTGACCAAAAATATCTATTAATCGACCACTTTTTAATATCAATTGAAAACACTTTGCTTTTTAAAGTTGAATAAAAACTGGTTTAATATTATTTTAGGTATTCATATGTACCTGACGACTCTTTGAAAGAACTTCTTCTCATCCTGATCAAAACACACAGCAAAAGTAGTACCCTCACTCCCAGCATGCACCTGGATCCAATCCACCTTCACCTCTGATGTGCAGATCTGCAGAGTGTATGTGGAGGTTGAGAGGAAGGTTTGACTACAAAATCTTAAACTTACAGAAAGAATTAGACCTGATTCAAGCTCTTTTTAGACATGGTGCACTGCCTCTTCAAAACCTCAGCCAACATCAGTTTAAAACTTTCTGAAGAGAAAACACAACCTCATCATCAACAAAAGAGTTGATGATTGTTGATGTGTCACATACCCAGCTGCTCATGTTTGCTGCAGGCTTTGTACACGTTTATTGATGTGCAGACTTTATCTACTTCAATCAACCGACTTCTGCCACTGATGCCGACCTGACATGTGAAAAAACAATCATCCTCATTCCTCACATGAACTTTGTACTGTGTGAAACAAAGGCTGGGAAATGCATTACAGATAATACATTCTCTGAAATATTACTTTAGGACTGTATTAGTTATCTGCCCATAATGAGGATCAATGGGATCAATATCTGAGCATTACCTTATTGTAAGTGATATTTAAGGTTAAAGGAACTGCCTCTTGTTCATCATCTATCCCCAAGCGTTTGAAGGCAGCACCTAGATATCAACGACAAATCAAACGGCGCTTCAACATGACTATATTACATGGACTGGAAATATTCTATACATTAAATGTAGTTGGTTAGATTAACCAAACTACCAGTGCCACTATAATGAAATGGTTTCTCTGAGAGAAGATGGTGACTGACCCATGGCCTTCACCGCCCTGGTTCCGGCCGAGTGACCCAGCTCCAGAGACTGAACAAACACCTCCACTCTCTTCTCTCCTCCAGCCAGAGTCAGCTGTGAGATAGTAAAGCCACTCAAAGATAGTGTAGTGTTGGGTTAATGCAGGCACACATATCATTCCAGACATGGCAGTGAGCAGCATTGAGGTCCATGAGACTACAAATCACAATTCTGCTTAATTGGAGTAGAAAAGTTGACTTCATAAGTCATTTTTTCTTATCATACTTGTGTTCAGACATTTATGTCAGAGTTATTATTTTTTAGAATTAGGTTTTGCAAAGCACCTTTGTCTACATTTTCAATTAACTGGTAATCATAAATGATAATGTTAACATAGTCCATACAATTTTACTATTCTTAGGATTTTTAGACATTGTAAGGAGCCTTGAATGGAGCCTTTTCTCTCTTGTCCAAGAGAGAAACGGCTCCCTAATATCTAAAGTTGTTCCCCTGCTACCAATTTAATTCACTATTTGTTTAAAGCATCATCATAAAGTCCATGAATATTATGAATTAGCAAAAAATATACGTTAGAGCAAATAAATTGGACCTTCTATTTTCAAAATCCTGCATAGCCAACCTCAGCCTGGTACAGCTGCACCAGGACAGGCTGATCCGCAAGTCGACAGTAGTACAGAACCATGTCCGCCAGCAGAGATTGCTGCCCAGCAGAACCACAGCATCCAGACTCATCACTATCTTTACACACATTCTGAAAACACAAAGACATGAGGACAAATATAAACATATACAGTTGATATAACGATCATGATCTCAAACACAAACAAGACGTCACCTGACAGAGAATGTCAGAGGACAGGCTGAGCAAACTGAGGACATTGCGTTTGTACCAAGGGTCCACCAAACCCAGCCTGTGTGCTACATTACTGCTGTGTCCCGGAAAGAGATTCTAAAGGACAAAAACACTTGAAGGCATTATATCATTACTACAGTTTTGGGTTTACATCAGAGCAGGACATGCACACAAATGCACTCCTAGTATTAGCACCAAAATCTACTTTAATTCCAAATATTTATAGCAGATTAATTCCGATTGTTGTTATTACTTAAGAATTCCTTGTTTTCGATCACAGAATAGTCACATTGAATATGGTGCATAACATGACAACTCACCACACAAGTTGATGCATCATCTACTCTTTCTCCAAGTGCTTGGCTTCCTACTTTTGTTCTTCTGGTTGGAACAAAGTAGAAGTGTATTTTGCATCTTTTTGTGAGTCGCCCATGTTTCACTTCCCTTTTCTGGAGGTCTGTGTACGCCCGAGCCAATCTTCCCAACTCTTTATCCCCTCCAAAGACCACCACTCTGACCTGGACAACCTGTTCATCCTGCTCTGTCAGATCACAGCTCAGGATGGGCCTCCTACGCACGCACAAGTGCTTCTGTGGAGAAGTAGATGATAGTGGAGTCTGTTTGGAGAAATTGGACTGTGACTTTTCCTTTGAGAGATCAGCGCGGCAGCTCATACTCTGAGCCCTGCGACAGAGTAAGGGGCTACGAGGAGACTTAAATAAAGAAGAAATCCGCTCTACACCCAGGATAGATTTAGATTTCTTCTTTGGTTTATTTCTCGGGTTTTGTGGTCCATCATGTCCATGTTCTTCACTAAAGTCACTGTCAACCTCAGAAGAGCAGGACAAAGTGGAAACAGACCAGCTGGAGGACAAGGAGCGGTTGGAGAACACAGAGTCTCCAGATATGGAGGACACAGTGGAGATTCGGTTGTTTGAAAACCTCAGTTGATTTGACTCTGTCTCATCTTCCTCATCCTCACCAGTGTCATCAAGATCTCCGTTCAGGAAGCACTCCTCGAGGGAATCAGGGTCAGACATTTCTCCAAAAACAATATTATGAAGAAAATCTAGAGAGCAGAAAGTACAAAGCAGAGAGTTGTTTGTTTGCTGAACTGTTTGGATGTATTCCACGTACTCACCAAACGTGTCGCTATCCCATGTCCGTACATGACACTTTGGTGGAGGTAGCATAAAACCTTCAGCTGTACCTGCAAGGATTTTTTTTAAATTAAATACATTTTGACAGGCATTACAAGTGTAATGTATGGTTCTCTCCAAATGATTAAGATGGATTATCATGACCAAGTGCCAAGTGCAACAATCACCTGTAGTGGAGGACCTGTCAGAGGTTCCAATGAGCTCTTCTTGGAGTGCGCTGATGCTGTGATGCAAGATCTGTCGGGCCTTGGACAAGTCAACTGTGGAGGCACTCTCCTCCATACTAACAGTCAAAGTCTCTAGTAGCTGTTCCAACTCTTCAGAGGTCTTTTTCTGGAAACGAACATGTGCTTGGGTGGGTAAGAGCAACGTGTAGTGATGTGCACCTTATAAGAATAATTTATCTACAATCATATTAATCCTGAAACAAAATGGTTGTTTTCCGGCCGTTGTTGAAAAGCTATAAGTTCACCTGCAGTGCTGAGTGCAGAGTTGGCATGTCTACAGGGCCATGTGAGGCCTGCAGAGCCTGGAGAATAAGAGTGATGCAGATGTCTCTGCTGCAGCACTGAGATGTACTGAGCTGGATGGAGACACTCTGCACCTCTGGAGGGATGTCATCATCTGCACTCACTAACAGGATTGTCCTGATTCACACAAAAAACTTGAAATGTGAATTCATTTCAACAGACCTTTTAATTTCCATTCATCCATAAAGGACAGATTTGTGCAGTGTATGACAAATATTTTCCCCATGTACAGTTAATTTTCTCGCAGGTGAGCTACAGATGTCTGCAGCTCCTCCAGAGTAACCACTAGCCTCTTGTTCGTGCTGTCCTTGTTTGGACCTCGTAGGTCCGAACAAGGAGCATGTCTTGGTGGATTAAAGAGCTTTGAGGTTTCCATCTTGTGAAATGTTTGTAACAAAATAATGCTTTAAACCACTCCCCAACTTCATCCCTGACCTCTCTTGTAGGTTCCTTGGATTTCATGATGCTGTTTAATGACCAATATTCTCCCAACAAACCTCTGGAACCAGAACAGCTGCAATTGTACATTTAGGATTATCTTACATTTAGGCGGGCTAGGTATTTAGGGAGATAACAAATCTAATGACTGTCAATCTATGTGCTAAGCCAAATCACACGTCCTCTTTTGCTGTGTAAAGTGGGTTAGCAGCTAACGCTGTTTTTCCCTCCCTAAATATCATGTAATAGTTACGTTGACATTTAACCGTTCATCAATCATCAGGAAACTTTGGTTACACACTTTTGCAAGGCCCACAATGCAGTTTATTGTTGTAATTAAATAATTTTTAATTCATACACTTTTTACATCATAATAACACAGTATCCTGTTACATGTAATTTCCTTACATATTTTTGAAGCTGTTAGCGTGACCCAGAACAGCATGCTCTGTCCTCACCAGTCTTTGGAAGGATATACCTGTAACATTTGAGTAAGTAAATACTGCCCTCAAACGGTGACATTGACACATGACAAACAGTGGAAGCATGGATGTTTTATATTATCTGGATAGTCCAATGCTGGAGAATTAGCTTAATATAGTCTCCAGCATTCAGGTAGGTCACCTGCAGTACTGCAGCATAAATTCACAAGGACAACACAAGTCATTTTTCCATAGACCTCAACGTTAACAACCAAGGTTTGACCTCAGCTGTAAGGGAACCGACAGGTTTAACAAAGGTCAGATTTAGGAGATGTTTGTCTTCTTTGTTATCATGAACTTTTTGTTTTATTTTCGTTAATCCATACTTTTGATGAACACCAGGGCTTCCCCAAAACTACACATATAATGGCCCTCATTTATGAAACCATTATAGAAAAAGGTGTCAATTTTGGGTGTAGATTCAAAATACGCGGGATTTATGATCTGTGTACGCCCAGATCTGAGCGTACATAGCTGCGGCTGTTAATAGGAGGATCTTGGAGTGACGACGTTGTTTATAGTTTTTCCGCGCCGGTCATGTGACCGGGTGGCACTACAGCATAGAAAGCTACCTGGATGCTGGAGAGTTAACTATTATTAGACGTTTGGAGAGAGGTTTTACTAAATCAAATGGTCCGTTCTTGCTGTGTGGTCGGTTGTACGGCCGACTGGGCACAGATTACGTTTTTTTTTATAATTATTTCGGAAAAGAACAGCAAAAAACGACCGCGGTAAAGTAGTTGCCCTTTTATGCTGTGGAAAGGGGAAGCCGGGGGGATGAGGGGATAAAAATTCATAAACAAATTTCAGTTTCACTGCGCACTTGTTCACTCATTCATTCATTCATGAATGATAATTAATTTTAAACATTGCATTTTGGTTGCTCGTCCATGGTCCCTTTCTGTTCCACCTTTACCGTAATTAACAGCAAAAAGGGGCAACCCACTTTTAATGCGTGGCAAAATACAGCAAACTATTTTGTGGATAAGGGGTGGGACTAAATACGTTTTTTACTTTTACCCACTCCTTTTCAAACATTTGCTTGAATTCATGTGAAGTTAAACATTTTGTCTGTATACATGTTTGAAATAAATAAATAAATACAAAATAATACAAATACAAAATGCGGGCCACTTTACCGCGGACCCTTCTTGAGTGAAGGGTCCCGGGTTTTCTATGAAGTAAGAATAAATGTCTCCGAGTCCCTGTCCCAGCAGATCGATGCCAAGACAGAGGTGAGTCTGACCAATGTTTTCTCTCGTCATCTTGAATATCTTGCGTGTTTTGGCGTGTTGTGATGAAGGTTGAGATGACCGTACACGATTACACAACCTCCAGACTCTGTGTATATTCTGTTCGTAACACATCCAGAATGATGAATGCAGAAAAGTGTACTTTTTCTGAGTACGCCTCATTTACACACTGATTTGCCCGTACACAAGTTTCATAAATAAGGGCCATTGTGAGCACAGGATAATATTTTATTTTTTAGACTTTTGTTGGTAACATTTGAAAATTCCAAATATTAAGAGTTTGAAGACATGAAGCAATGTGATAACTATTACTGCACAGTTGTTTTCAGCCCAAAAACGAAAATTGAGAAAGCCTGATCGATCTAGCTCTAATCGCCTTTTTCCGAATTTGGCGAATACATTGGGTGATGTCAACCTTCAGTTTGTCCCATCCTAATATACAGTATATATGGTGTGCACATGCGAGTGTTTAGCCATCTTTCTTCATGCAAACTACTGACTGTGTAAAAAGTCAGAGTTATTAGTATTCAACAAAAAATATAATTTAACGTTTTGCAGCGGGTGTTTGTTTGTACCTGGTGCCCTGAGCTCCTGTCGCAGGGTGAGCAGGAGGCGCAGACATGCAGCGCTGTAGGGCTCAGGCCACGAGAGGAAACCATGGAACAAAGAGTAGGCCTCCTGCAGCAGCCCGCAGTCGACATGAGGGGCCTCAAGTGGAGAGACTCGTTATCACATGGACAAATACATCTGTTTACTCTTTTTAATGCACCGGTGTTATTTATTATTGTAATCCTTTGTGTGATTTTAATGGTTTTAATAACTTATGTGATTTTTATGTTTTAATGTTTTTAATTACCTGTGTGATTTTAATGGTGATTTGGGTGTTTGTTTTATGTGATGATTTGTGCCTTGTGTGGTGTGAACTGTGAGGCGCTTTGTGTTGCCCTGTGTAGGAAAAGCACTCTATAAATAACCATTGATTGATATATGAAAACGAAAAAGGTGAGGATAGTATTCTCACTTTTATAAGAGTAGACAAGAAGAGGAGTGTAAGAGGCACCACCAAGTCGTACTGACAACTCTCCAATACCTGAGAATAGATCCAACAGGTCAATGTCATTCATACATTAACAAAGCTTGGATTCAAGGGTTTTATACAGAACAGAGAATGTGTCAGACCTGCGTAGTTTTATGCAGTAGTTTGTTCAGGAGGATGATAACGTTTTGAGAGTCTCTCTTCACCAGTTCCTCTAAACACCAGCGGTTGATGCAAAGTCCCGCTTGAAAAACACAGAAAGACATGGAGATGTTTTTTTCTCTTTGGGTTTTACTGACCACAGCAGATGAATTACACTATCCACACTAATGTTGTAACTAATTGACTATATATTAAACAATTATTCAAGCAATTAATCAATTAGTTGTTAAAATAACATCTCTCAGCTAATACAATGATGTTAGTATAAAGAGCAGTAAACAGATTATTGAAAAAGCTTGACTAAATTGTTACAGTCCTATTACAATCAAAGATGACAAATTCATAATGTTTCTAATGATTATATAATAATCAGCCCTTCTGGTGCAGGGTCTGCCACCTTCTTTTATCCATGTGCATGATGCAGCTCTGTCTGGCCAGCTCCAGAGTTTGGAATTAAACATGTGTTTTTACAAAATAGATTAAAATACACTTAAAAACCTGATTGGGTTGTCCACTTGGACCATTTTTGACCCGTTTATCAGAGCAATTTAACAAAATTATCCTCGAGACGGAATTTCACATGGTAAGTGGATTTTGTGTCACCAATTTCAAACCACAAAATATCCCGCACCTGTCATCGAGGCTCACTGTCCCTCAGGGGGTAAATACAGTTATTGTCCGATGCAATGCAATATTTAAGTTTTGTTTGTTTGTTCATAATATGGATATTTAAGACAAAACACAATGTTATGAAATCAGAAGTTTGTCTTTATATTAATCTACAACACCTGTCCATTTGAGTCAACCCAAGCATATTTTGTTCACAATAATCACCTAAAAATGGCCCCCTACCATCCGCACTGAACAACACCACCATAATGTAACCTTATACACCGTTTGCCTCTGCGTTAGTTTATACAATGAACACTGTTTATGGGGGGAACAAATCGATCCATGAGAGCTATGGGGCCGATGCTGACGCCTTAATAACAATGGCGCTAATTAGCCAATTACAGTAGCTTGAGAGCCAATAAGCACAGTACAGTGAGTGATAGAATACCATTTGTTCTTATGTAGACATACTTTATTGGACCTTTTCAGATCATATATTTCTAAAGTAGCATACTGGAGCCAACAAATATTAATTGGCTTAAGATTTCAATGCAAAAGCACATCACCTACAGCGTTGATGAAAGTTGTGTTTTATGAATATTTTAGTTTTTTTAATAATGCAGTGAGTCAGAGGTCTTACCACTCCACTGCTGTTTGTCAGGACCGTCCAGTCCAAGGTCACACAGACACCTCTCCACAGCGTGCTCTATCCGATCCTCAGTGCACGAACTCTGCTCTGCCTCCAGGGCCTCCATTATTCACTGTGTTTAGCACTATATTTACAGTCAGCAGTGGAGCAGCACAAGTGCTGGGCAGAGGAAATAATGCCACTTCCTGACCACACCATGAGACACAGAACAGACTTGGCAGCAAGAAACAGACTACTTCTGGTTTTTCGTTCCTTAAACAGCTGAGGTCACAGAATTTTTAATCTGCCTCAATAAGAATTATTTCTTTGTGTAGAATATGGAATTACTGCTACAAACGAGTGCTGTACATCTGATTGATTTATTGTAAATAAATGCATTTTCCATTTTTCATTTGCTTTCATTTTCAAAAGCCAGAGTGTGAATGAATGCACTTGACTTGCCCATGTGTCTACAGAAGAACAAGATAAACCACTTCTTGAAAACACAAAAGTGAAAAGTATGGTGATAATCAAATAATGTTGTCTGCTTAACAACAAGAACGACCTGGATTTGATTTCACTTCCAGCTCTTTCAAGAATTCAAATACATGTCGTGAAATAGTATGTTCTGATAAATAGTCTTTATCAAGAATTAGAAATGATTGAATAAGAACCCTCGTAATGAATGAATAGAAACGATTACATTTCCATGGTTACATGATAGTTGGAATTGAATGCCTCTCATCCCATTGAAATACATTATATTTGCATTTATTCTGATTTGCAGGTTTTAACAAAGTTGTTCACAAAATCTTCCCCAAAATCTATCATCTGCTTCAGGGCCATCAGAATGAGTTTTTCAATGTCATTGTCTCTGTCGATCTCACAGTGGTAGTTCTTCACAGGGAAGATGCAGTTCAAGGGAACCCCCAGAGCTTCACTGAGTATCTGCATCTAAATTCAAACAAGATTCACTATAATCCTGTAAACCTGTAAAACTGTAAACCCACAATTAATAAACAAGTGAATCATGCCTGTTTTTGCACAAACTTGCTTCTGTAGACCACTTGTAAGTCAGACTGGACCTCGGCGCATGCTTCATCGATCTTAGTAAGAATGGCCATTTGAGGGATCCCTATAAGGAACACAATGTTGGTTATTTTCTGTTTTAACATCATGGCCATTTTTGTCCCATTTTGTATTTCTTTGTATTATATATTGTTTCATTCTGTATGAATTACATAAGTTAAAAATAAAAATTACTACAACATTACCCAAGTCTCTGGCAGCAAGTCGGACATCTCTCATCTTTTTCATGACTTCATCACTCATTAGATTGACAGTACTGCCTGAGACCACACAAACCAGCACATGCGTCTGGTCATTTACAGTGGGGCTGTCATTATAAAACTGGTCTGCACTTGTAAAGCGGGAGAGTGGATTAAACTGAAACAAAGATCAAGATTATTAATTTATTAACTGACATCTAAATCCTATATTTGTCAAAAACTCACCACATAGCCATCTTTTACATGTCCCTCCATGGCCATTTTGATGTCATCCACACAAATCCCTATGGATTTGTGGAAATCCCTATCCCACACAAATCCCTCATCTTGCTCCAGTCCCATGATGTCATTGAACACAAATGGATAAAAGCTCCCAGGTTTTGTTTTTTGTATTTTATGTGTCCGATACTGTCCATAACGTTGTTTGTTGAATCAGTTACATTACAATCACAAACACAGATAGATTTAGTGCTGATTTACCTGGGTGGTGAAGCTGTTCTGGCCAACACTAGCCAGAGCCTGTCCAGTCATACGCCCTCGTAAAGTGGTCTCTACGGAGTTGATAAAACTGGACTTTCCTGCATCACAGGGTCCATGAAGCAAAATCCGGATGTGTTCGACATCCTTTCTGTCTGGCTGATAATCAAGAAGGTACTGCAGATAATCATCCTTTTCCCTACAAGCAAAAAAGAACAGAAAAGTATGAAGAAAAACTAAGAAGAGAAGAAAGAAAAAATACATGGATAGAAATGCCATACAACATATAGTTACTTACAATTGGGGTGTTTTTCTCCATTCCTTTTGGAGAACTGAGGATATAGAAAACTTTAGAATTAAATCAATAATGATCAAATCTTTTTCAAACTTACGCTTTGGAGAAGGGGGTGCTGGGGGTGTGGGGCCAAACCACTGCATAAAAATCACAACACAATTTCATACAAAATTGCAAAGTATTCTTTATATTCATTCAAGAAAATCACACAAATGTACAACTACACTGCCATTTCAATAATACTGCAAAACATTAAAAAACAAATGTCTTTACCTTTTTCATAGAGGAAAATGGTCCTCCTGCTGCCATCGCCAAAGTAAAAAGAGATGTGGCAAAGTTTGGCCAACGTTATTTCAGTTTCAGTTTGATTATGAGATGTTCAAACATGCTTTGATTTCTGGACTGATTGCATTCCAACCAATGCAATGAGAACTCCTCAACAACTCAGCAATTCATCCACCCAGTCCTACACAACTTAATTTTTCACAGAATACATAAACATTTGTTTATGATATCTTTTAAAATCTTAAAATGAACAAGTTGGTAAATGTCGTGGTGTAAAAAGATTCTGTATGTCAATAAGTGATAACAAAATCATTGGTCATTTACAATCTGTTATATTGCAGGGAACATGGAGGACTACCGTATAGTATGATTTGGGATTATACATGTTAAGTCTTTTAAAAGATAAATAAAAAACATATTTTTATGCATTCAGTCTTGTATCCTGCACATTTATCATTATTCTGTTTGTGTACAATTGTGCAGTAAGATAGTAGTGTGTATGTATACTACTCACATGGATCTATTAGGCTACTCGCTGTACGTTTAAGAGATAAAACACTGAACACTGGTTCTAAACACTATCTACATGTGTCACAAGCTTCATCAGAGTGCTTAGTACATATTACATACTGTCCACAACTTGTGAAGTGGAAATTTGAAAAGAGCAAATGTGTTTATTGAAGCAAACAACAAACCACATGTTCCTCAAATACAACACAGAATTCTGGATTTAGCAAAACTGTGTAGGCTGACTACACAATAAATGATTATAGGAACCACGACACATTGAACACAAAGTATGAATAAAATATTGTATCTTCGCATATAAAAAAAACAGAACAGTTTTCTTCCTTAACTGTCAAGTGATAATCGATGATGATTCCCTCTAAATCTATGACTGAAAAACACGTCTTTATTTCATTCTCTTGTAGACATAGATGACCCTTCGACAGTTTGGGCAGTGGTGCTCCACGTCTTGACAGGACTCAACACAGAAGGGAATGCAGCTGCAGATGCAAAACCTAGAGCACATAATACACACTGTCAACTTTAGCAAGTCAGAGTTTTGGTTTCACAGATCCAATAATACCCAAAGAGGCAGAGTCCACCGAACAGAAGCCAGGTCAGGAGTCCCGGTGTGGGCTGAATGTGAGTTAACACAGTCTGGCGGCAGTGAGGGCACATGGCCTGTCCGGAGACGTCCTGCAGGGCTGGAGCCATTGGAGAAGTTACATTTATGATCTGCATTTATTTACTTCAATTGTGGACAATAAAACAGTTTTAAATGACAAATGGCAATGGAATTTCTGATAATTAAAGGCACTATACCTGATTTACTATCTAATGAGTACATACAAATGCGTATTACTACTGTTGAGTTATGCCTCAATGTTGCAGCTAACGTTGCATTCGGATGAATAGAGGGAACAATGGAGATGAGCCATCTTTAGCCTTATGGCATATTTATTCCTTCACTGCAGACACATCAGTCTCACGGTCATACAGCTACTAACACTAAGTTGAACTCAGGCAAGATCACTAGAACAAGACGTTATGCGTCAACCTGCATCACAGCGCCCTCGTGTGACATAATAAGCATACATAACACATAACAGTATGACATAACATTCACATATACAACTGAGGACATAATGAACATATCTTAACACCCCCACTTGTACTCAGGTTGCTATACTTTAAACAAAAATAAAATGAATGTGGACCTCTGTCATACACATCAGTTTCCAAAAAGAACACCCGCAAACCTCTTCAGTTTCAACTTGTTTACAGGTTTGGTCATTATATCAGCAACCATGTTATCAGTAGAACAATACATCAAAGTCAACCTTCCCTCATTCACAGTAGACCTGATGAAGTGATACTTTATATCAACATGTTTGCACTTACGTCTATTTACTGGATTTTTGGCAAGAGCGATTGTACCCTGATTGTCCTCATGTACTACAGTTTGTGTGTACTTGTAGTTATCTATACCATTCAGTAACTGCTCTAGGTATAGGCACTCCTGTATGGTTGAAGCCAGTGCCATGTATTCTGCCTCGCATGTGGATAGTGCAACAGTAGGTTGCTTTCTAGTCTTCCAAGAGACTAGGGCACTGTTTTGACTGAGGCTCACACAGTATCCTGTGGTACTGCGTCTGTCACTGGTATCAGCTGCCCAGTCTGCATCACTGTATGCCTGTATACCTAGATTCTCACTGTTGTTTCTCTTAAAACTTAACCCTTTCTCTACAGTGCCTTTAAGATATCTTAGTACATGCTTCACAGTGACCCACTGCTCCTCTGTAGGCTCAGCAAAGTACTGTGATAACCTGCTCACTACGAAACTTAAATCAGGTCTGGTGCAAGTAGTCAGGTATATAAGACTTCCAACAGCCTCCCTGTACATCCTGACGTCATCCATATTTACTGCATCCTCAGTATATTCCAGCTTTTGCTCACAGGGTGTTTCTCTAGTCCTACAGTCTTGCATATTAAAACGCTCTAGTATTTTGTTAGTGTACCGCTCCTGTGACATCATTACACACCCATCTGACTGACTAAAATCAATTCCCAGAAAATGTTTTAGTTTGCCTAAATCTTTCATTTTAAACTTTTCTGCAAGCATTTCTTTCACCTTTTCCAGTCTCTCTGTACTGTTTGCAGCAATGATCAAGTCATCAACCCATATGATCATGATAACTTTCCCTTCTTTTGTCTCTTTGGCATAGACACAGTGGTCAGCTGGGTTTTGAGTGAATCCATCCTCAATAAGGCAATCGTGTAAAATCCTATTCCAATTTCGCCCAGATTGTTTGAGGCCATAAAGTGATTTTTCAAGTTTATAGACAATACCCTCTTTCTCCTGATAGCCCTCTGGTGGATTGATGTAGATCTCATAGTCCATGGGAGCGTGCAAGTACGCTGTTTTCACGTCCATTTGGTGTAGGAGTAAATTCTCCTGTGCAGCTTTCTGTAACACCACCCTTACACTCGTCAGGTCTGCCGTGGGTGAAAACGTTTCCCCATAGTCAATTCCCATTCTCTGGCTGTAACCCTTGGCCACAAACCGTGCTTTATATTTGTCTTTTCCCTCTACATCAGTCTTGATAGAGTAAACCCATCTGCCCCCCACTGTTTTCTTGCCTATTGGCAGCGTTGTCGGGGTAAAGGTCTTGTTCTCGTTTAAGGATTGGATTTCTTCATCCATGGCTTTTACCCATTCTTTTGAGTTATCAGAGTCCATTGCTTCTCCAAATGTCTGTGGAATTCCACACACAGCTCTGCAGCAGTAGTCCACTGTGATATGAATCCCATCGCTATCACCATCGTCGGTTATGAAGTCGCCTTAGTAGCCTGGTGTCCTTCTTTCTCTATTTGGATACCTCCTACTCTCAGGCTCACCACTTTGTTCTGTATGATTAGAGTCACCACTGTCACCTTGTGTACTTCTCCATACATTTGGGTCTGGGTCTGTACTCCTATTGACCCCCTGTGTGGTCTCACTAGTCCTGGGCATCACACTGTCATGGCCATCACTTGGATCTGGCTCATGTGTTTGTGTCTGTTTTTCCACAGCTGCCCTGCCAACAAACTTCACTAGCCTGTGTTTCTGGACTTTATTTGTATCTGGATGATACACCAGATACGCTGGGCTGTTTTTGTCATGACCTACAAAATGCCCTTGGTTACACCTGGAATCCAGTTTTCCCTTGTCCTGTCTGTATGTGTAGCATACAGATCCAAACTTTTGCATTTTGGATATATTTGGTTTCTTTTCTGTCAGCAGCTCATAAGGAGTCTGCCCTGTACGCCTGTTAAAACATCTGTTGCGTACCATTGCTGCCGTTTGTACAGCATAGTTCCATAGCTGCTTTGGTAGTGCACTTTCAACTAGCATGCACCTACCCATCTCAAAAAGAGTACGCCAGCCCCTCTCTGCTGTCCCGTTCTGGTGTGGGGAATACGGAGCTGACGTTTCATGTCTGATTTTGTTTTCCCTTAATAGTGTCTGGAAATCACCGGACATAAACTCAGTTCCATTGTCGGATCTCATACATCTTAAGCCTAGCGTACATCGACAGAGAAACTGGGGACAACTAGTTGCAAGGCGGCTTTTGGCAACTGAGAGGAGATGGTGGGAGATGATCAGTTGGCGAAATCGGTCGATGTGCGCGCTCTTACAACTGGAGATGATCAGTCGGTCTCCAGTTCCAGTCAGTTGCCCGTGTTCTACTTTTCGGCAACTAGTTGTCCTCAGTTTCGGAGATATGACCGATGTGCGCGCTCCAACAACGTGTGTGTATTGCGTGTATTGCGAGCCCGCAACAGTTTGTTGTCAGAAAACACACTGTAGTTGAGGCCAGTTGCTGTCGATGTACGCGCTGTTATTCAAGAGACTGGCCTGCGACTCAGAGTTGCCCGTTTTCGCCAGATTGTCGATGTGTGCGGGGCAGCAACTCAGAGGCGACGGATATAATCAGTTGCCAGTCCGATGTACGCTAGGCTTTACTCTCCCGTAAGGGGACACATCCGCTAGGAACTTTTCCGTTGCTCTTACAGTGTCGCTTTTACTCTTGAGAAAATATACGAACACTGCGCTTGAATAGTCATCAGTAAATGACTGCGCATATTTGTAACCATCTATCGACTCTGTAGCTACAGGACCTGCAAGATCTGTGTGTACCATATATAAAGGAGCCTTTGCTTTGGTATCAGGGTCCCTATTTCTGGTTTGGGTGAACTTTCCCTGAATACACACTTCACACTCTTGTTCGGGTCTGACCATTTTGCCCTTAATTTGCATACCCTCAACAACATTCTGCAACTTAATAACATCGTCGTAGTTACAGTGGCCTAGTATCTCATGCCATGTCTGTATGTCGTGACATGTGTTACATTTATCATCAGACTCAGTTTCAGTATGCAAATAATACAGTCTACTATAAACATGAATGTTGAACCTGGTACCGTCTCTGGTTATCAGGGAGTCTTCA